AAACAGCTGATCGCGGCGGGCGGGAGGCACCGGGGAAAGAGGAGGAGGCGCTGATTGGGGGAGCCGCTGGCGGGCGGGAGGCGCTGGGGGAGGGAGAAGGGGCTGATAGGGCTGCCGGTGGGTGCTGAGCACCCACCATTTTTCCCCAGAGTCAGCTCCTAGCAGGAGCTGCATATTATCTTCTGAAGAGCCGCATGTGGCTTCGGAGCCACAGTTTGGCCACCCCTGACTTAATAGAATAAAAATTGCTCTCAAACAAACACAATTCTTCTATTAAAAGACAACAACCAGAGGAGAGAATGAAACGAAAAAATTCATCAGCAGGGAGGGGGATGGGGGAAGAGAAGGTCTCAAGAGGAATAGGGGTCCCAGGACGGCTACAGGTTTGTGTAAGTAAGGGATCATACCCAGCCTTCTCCTTTGGAGTACAATGCAGCTGGTGCTGTACTTCAGCAGGGCCAAACTGCAGAGGGATGGGTGTTGAGTGCAGTGGGTAGGGGGAGTCCACAGTGCTGGACTGTGAGGAGGGAGGAGTGGAATGCTGCAGAGAGTGGAGCCAGGAGGTTGATAAGAGTGTGGTGGTGGGGGGGAGCATGGGAAAGAGTTTTGCGACAGCGGCTGCAGAGGAGGGCGGGTGCCGAGCTACTCAGTTTGAGGAGCTAGTATCACCTGGAGCGTGTCCACTTGGCACTCCATAACATTTAAGAGCTACTCCGTGGCTTCTTTCTGGTGTGCCGCATTCTCCTTTTGGTCCCTCTTCTCGGTGTCCCACCACTCCTTCAATTCCTGTTTCTCGGCGGCGGAGTGCATCATAACCTCTTGGAGAAAGTCCTCCTTTAGTTCTTCGGGGCTGCTTTCTAATTCTGTGCAACCTTTCTGCCGCTGATAACAAAGAGGTAGGCTGGGTTCCCAAGATCATCTCCGTGAAGTTTAAATGCAACATTTTACAGAAGCAGTATTGTTTGCAACACAGACAGCACTGATTCCGTGCTTTAAAACACAGCCAGTACTCTCACACCTGTCGCTAACTGGCTGACCCCAGGCAAGCACACATGAACTACAAGATTCCCAAAATGGTGAGTAGCTGCAGGGACAGAGTAAATCACTGTTCCCGGACCCTGCTGTACACTGGGCACATGGCTCTTGGGTAGAGCCAGCACTGTAGGGGGGGCCTGATAATCATTCCTGTCCTCACACTTTCCACAGGAAGATATCTTGCTGCTGAGGGTGAGCAGGGAATCAAAAGAGGATCTTCTCCAAGCCTGCGGCTTCTGCCCTGGCCCCTATGCAGCTTGCCTGTGTGCAGCAATGGTCTCTCCCTGCCCCCCTCCCCCTCCGATGGTAAAGTGGCGCGGAAAAGTTACCGTTAATGGGGCAAGAAACAAAGCAGCTCTGCCGAGGAACCTGCAGCAGCAGATTGCCCAGTATCTCCACAAGAGTTTCCTGGAGATCTCTGAGGGAGATTCCCATGAAGTTAGGGAGTCTATCAACAGCCTGTTCCACCACTCAGACTAGGCATGTGATATGGAACAATCCTGCTTTCTCCAACCCTGCGTTCTCTCTGCTTCAGCAATTCCCAAAATCAGATCCACTTACCAGGGGCCTCCTCTCCTGTATGCGCTTCACCAAGATCCGACTGCTGTGACTGGCTAGGCTCCTCTGAGGTAGAAAAGAGCTCCTGACTGCATGCATCTCTGGCCTCCAAGTCATCCTCTACCTCTGGGTCCCTATCCTCTTCTTCATCCAAGTTTTCCTTCTCCTGGCTCGGTCCACTCTTGACTGGCACGCGAGCCAACGAAGTATCCATAGGGGCCTTTGCAGTGGAGGTGGGGTCGCCACTGAGTATTGTGTCCAGCTCTTCGTAGAACCGGCAGCTTGTGGGTGCAGCACTGGAGCGGCGGTTTGCCTCCCGTACCTTGTTGTAGGCGTTCCGCAGTTCCTTCACTTTTACCCTACACTGGAATGTGTCCCGGTCATGGCCCCTTTCTATCATGCATCGTTAAATCTGTCCGTAGGTATCATAATTCCTACAGCTGGAACTGCACAGCCTCCTCTCCCCAAATGCTGATGAGGTCCAGCAGCTCAGCATTGCTCCAAGCAGGGGATCGCCTGGTGCGTGGAGCAGGTATGGCCACCTGGAAAGATGCTCTGAGGCCACTGCACGCATCACCGAGCAAACAGGAAGGGGACTTTCAAATTTGCAAAGGAATGTACGGGAGAGGGATGACGGTTGGTCACCTGAGGGCAAGGCAGTAGAGTTCAAACCAGTGACCAGAAAAGGTGAGAACAGGCATTGTAGGACACCTCCCGGAGGCCAATCGCAGCGCTGTAATCGCCACGGTGTCTACACTTGCACTGCAGCGCCATAGCCCTGGCGCAGAAAGCTCTACACCTCTTGTTGGGGTGTTTTGTTTTTTTTTAGAGCGCTACAACTGCGCAGTTTCTGTGCATTAAGTGGCTTCGCAGTGTGTACACCTCGGGAGTTACAACGCAGAAAGCTGCTTTACTGCTCAGAAACTTGCCAGTGTAGACAGGGCCGAAGTGACTTGCCTAAGGTCACAAAGGAAGTCAGACCTGTCCATTTTTTTTGAAAGAATGAACTTCAAATGGGAAACTTCCACAGGCCACACATAGTGTTGCCAGCCTCAAGTGTTTAAAACTGAGATCTTCTAAAATGATAAATTTTGGGTTGTTTTTCTTTGCCTTTTGATTTCTAAGCCTGTAGGGTGCACTTGCTTCATAGTTTCAAGTTTCATAGCTTTTTTTTTTTTTTTTTTTTCTTTCTCTTCCAAACACGAGGGCTACAAACCAGGGTGGATTTATGTAAATCAAGGTGATTTAAACGGAAAGCCTCAATTTAAATCATTGATTTTAAATAACTTTTCCATTTGTACTTCAATTATTTTCTAAAGAAAGGTACATTTTCATTGATTGATATAACCATTAAAACATGTCTATTTACAACTAAATAGAGCCTTTACAGTAAATTTGATACATCTGTTTGCTACCTGGGAGGGTACACTATAACTATACTATAAATTGTACTTTCAGATTCTTAATTGTACATTTTTAGTATTTTAGAAAATGATTAAAGATATATTGTTTATTTACTAGATAATTAACTTTTTGCTCATGATTTTTGTCAAGCTGCATTAGGATGGTAACAAACTTAAACATACGAAACAGCATATAAATTTATTTTCATTAAACAAAACCACATTTAAATTAAATGTTTTGGATATATAAACTTTTCATCAACACATGTTTCATATTTACAAGTGATTTATTAAATAGCGGGATTAACTGTACTCAGTGATTTAAACTGATTGTTTCAGGTCAGCCTGGGAAAATTTTCAAATATGCCTAAGTGAAAGTGACTGGAGTGTATGTTCCCAGTCACCTGTCTCTTGAAAATGAGAGAGTCTCCTGTATTACTTAGGCTGACCTATTGTGCCATATTTATAAAACTTGACATCAAAAGTTAGATGTTTTCCCCAAATTCTGTCTTTATATCAGTGATACTGAGACCTCAGTGATTCAGGAGCCAAATTAGTAATCAACATTACCCAAAAGAGCCACAGTACTGTGAATTCATTCTTTCATTTAATATATATTATTCTCAAAGCAAAATGATTGACCAAGTATTTTATCAACTTCACTTGGTTACTAACATGGTAAAAACATCCTGATTGTTTAATAACTTAGATTGGTTAATAATTAAATCACACAGTGTTTTAATATCGTGCTGCAAAGAGCTGCAGGAGACACATTAAAAAGCCACTGCTTTTCTATATAAAGAAGCCTTTAACTCAGAGTTTTTCACAACTTCATTGATTCAGTATAGTTATTTTTATTTAAATGTTTTAAGAGATTACAATTATTTTAGCCTTTAATATATTTTTTATTAAATTAAGATTTCATTATAAACAGGTTTTATGTATAAAAAGAAAAACTTATAATTTTTCTAATTTAAACAAAATTAAAAATCCAGTTTAAATAAAACATCCAATTTAAATAAGAAAAGCCCATTTATTGATTTTTTTTTTTTGAGAAAATCTTAGATTTTTATCCACTGAACTAGAAACGTACTTTTTTTTTTAAATGAAAGCTGAGCTTCTTATGCAGTCTTTTAAGTCTAGCAACTATGAATTTAAGAAAATTACCAAATATTGTGAGACTTGTGGTAGAATCACAAGAGTTGGCAACACTATCAGTATCGCTAAAGAATAAAGTTGTGTGGGTTTATAAATAATCTTCAGATTTTAACACATGCAAGGTGTGAAAAGAAAAGCTAATTTTATTTTACAGTTCAGTTACTTGGTTTAGTTTTGTACTTTTACTTTTCTTAGTCTATACTTACCTCCGGGTTCGGCGGTAAGCAATCGATCTTCTGGGATCGATTTATTGCGTCTTGTCTAGACGTGATAAATCGATCCCGGAAGTGCTCGCCGTTGACGCCGGTACTCCTGCTCCGCGAGAGGAGTACGCAGAGTCGACGGGGGAGCCTGCCTGCCACGTGTGGACCCGCGGTAAGTACCTTGTAGTTCGAACTAAGGTACTTCGACTTCAGCTACGTTATTCACGTAGCTGAAGTTGCGTATCTTAATTCGAACGGGGGGATTAGTGTGGACCAGCCCTTAGCCTAAGTAGCAACAATCAAAAGTGCTATCTTTGCAAAAGTCTGAATTCTCTAACTTAAAATTTTAAAAAATTGCTAATACAAATTAAAGTATATTTGTACTATTTTCGTCTTAGGTTTTCAAGGTTGAACTTTTTCAACACCAGATCTGAAGTGTCTGTAATGAAAATTCACTTTCCCATGTATAACAAAAGGCCTGCCACAGAATTCTGTCCCTTTTATACATTGTCTATCCTATAGCCTATCTTTTACTTTATTTGTACTGAATGTTAGTTATATTTACTAATACGTACTAGGCAGGTTTAATATTCTCCAATGCTTACCATTTTTAAGTTAGTAATTCCCCTCTTTCTTCCCTCAGCGAGTTTTTACTCTATTAGAAAAGGCTTTGCTTGGTTCCCCTGTGCAGTTCATCTGGCAGAAAACTTTAGGAAACTTCCTTGCTGTGACAGGGTAAGATAAGAATTTAAATATTATTAATATGTATGTAGAGGTAATTGAGTTATTTTCACCATTTTGTTAATGTTGTATATTCACTATCACAGTATATGTCACAGTTCCTGAGGTAACTTGCATCTCTGACCCCTTTTTGGCCTTCTTGAGGGCACCCCACTTAGGTCTCAGGCTTCTCAGCTGTCACCATAGAGTCCTGCAACTCTCCACCTCTAGACCAGGGAGTTAGGCTGCAATTCTTTCTGTAATTCACTGTGATTACCACAGTAGATCTGACTTCAGTTCAGCACCTATAGTCCTATTCTTTCAAGGGCAATGACACGGTTAATTAGTGACCAACCAGGCAATGATAGGGTTAACCATTGACCAACAGCACTTTTATAGTTTTAATTTCTTTGTTTGTCAAGGTTTTTGAAGTAGGTCAAACTAGTATAAGTAGATTTGGCAGAATTCAATTTTTTTTTTGTAATTTAGGCAACTAATATGTATTTTTAGTTTTAAGATTTTTGTTTGATTTTTAACAATTTTAATTTTTACAATCCTTGGAAATTAAGGGGGAGGGAAGGGGAGGGTTGGGTTAGCATTAGGGTAGGGTTAGCATTAGGGTAGCACTAATAGTGGGGCTCCAAGGGGTTCCCAGGACTGGCAACATGGCTGCAGGGGCACCCTGCACAGCTGTGGGATCCAAGACACCTATGTAAAAGATGCCAGAGAGGCTGTTATCCTCAGCCGGTGGAGCAAGGACTCCAAGGAGAAGGATGAGCCCCTGGACACAGAGGGAGGCCACCCTGCTGCTGAACAATTCCATCCCAGGGACAGCTCCTATGTTTCGGGTGGGTGGGTGGGTGAGTGAGTGCAGCTCCTCTGTCATGGCCCCAGAGGATTCCCTGCAGGGCCTGTGACATTTGATTCCTGCAGGTGCAAGGTGCGGGGAAGGTTGCAGTCCTGGCAGAGCAGAGCAGAGACTCCTCTGCAGAGCTATGAGGAACAGTACAAGCCCCTTGCCTGAGGCCACCCCACTGCCGAATGGCTTCTGCCCAGGGACAGAGCTCCCCCCAGTACATCATCCTTGCAGTACTAGCTCGGGGTCTCTGCTCTGCCCATCCAGGACCGCAGCCTTCTCCACAGCTTGCACCAGCAGGAATCAAGTGTCACAAGCCCTGTGGTAGCATAGTGAGCCTTCTGCCACCACAATGTCATGGCCTCACTCCTATGACAGAAGGGCTGCCTGGGGCTTCCTGTGCTACTGCAGGGCCAGTGACATTGGATCCCTGTAGACGCAAGATGTGGGGAAGGCTGCAGTTCTGGCAGGGCATGAGGGAGTAGAGACCCTTTGCCTAAAACTGGGAGACAAGCCCCTGGCCACAGGGGAGGCTACCCTGCTGCTGAATGGCTTCTGCCTAGGAATGGCTCCCGCACTCCCAGCTGTTGAGTAAGAAAGCTATGACAGTGGGGTTGCCTGCCCTGCCTGAGGACTGGTGACATGTGATACCTGCAGAGACAAGGTGCACAGGGTGGTTTTTGTTTGTTTGTTTGTTTGTTTTGGGTTTTTTTGGTCAAATTTCAGTGTGTCAGCTGAAATCGATGTTTACTTCATCTATCAAATTCAATCGAATCCTGCCAAGGCTATGTATATGCAGTTTCTGTCAGGGGCGGAGTCTCCTCCAGACTTGCTACCTGCCTAGGAATTTGCATTAATTACCTCCCAGTGATTTAGTTCTTGTAGGAAACCCTGTAACTCCCCCATGGAGCCAGAATACATTCCTTAGCCCATAAACATACATATAAGACTTATAAAGCCGATACAATAACTTTTTATTATTCCATGTGTCCATAATATCTTTTATTGGACTACCTTCTGTTGGTGAGAGAGGCAAGCTGTATATTTCCTAGACCTAAAAAAGAGCTCTGTGTAAGCTTGAAAGCTTGCCTCTCTCACCAGCAGAAGTTGGTCCAATAAAAGACATTACCTCTCCGATCTTGTCTCGCTAATAACTTGGGACCCGCATGGCTACAACAACACTGCATATATCCATAATATCTGTCACAGTAAGTACCTATCCCCTGGAAATATCAATAGATAAAACTCATGAGCCACATCAACGTGGCATGAAAGATTAATGGAAAAAGTTTTTATGAAATCTCTAAGGATATTTGCAAGTATACAAAAAGACTGAATTCATCTTCTGTTTTTTTTAGAGCTGATCACACTGTAAAAATCTTTGATCGTCATGGTCAGAAGAGAAATGAAATTAACTTACCAAGGTAAGAACTAACAAGGGTTTGGAACATGTTCTTAAACAAAAAAACCACATACTTTTAATGGCACATGCATACATATAAATAATCTGTGGAAGATGCATAAGTAATCTGAGGCAAAACTGAATTCATAATACAATAGCCATGAAAAATCAGGAAAAAATTATATTTATCCTTATACGTAAAACATTCTTTAACTATACTTTTCATCAAAAGAAGGGAAGAGATACTTTTAACCGGAATTTTAGGACCCCACATAAATAGTTCATTGCTAAAATATATAAATGTATGACAAAAGTGACAGGTTAAAAAGATTTAAAATACCAAAAAACCTTATTTCAAGTCCAAACTTCATCTCAAAAACTGTATAAAAGTACTTTCTTCACTTCAGTTCTATCTCACACCATCTACTCATGTTATGTCAACAACCCAAAACTGTTATCTTATTTATTTTCTATTCCATTGTAGTCTGGTTCCATTTTAATTAAGGTGGTCTCCTGCCCTCTGTATAGCTTCCTTTTCCTCCAAATGTTCCCGAGTACCTAGAAAACTTTCTCTCTTCTTTGCACCGTCTTTTCCTGCATGCATTGAGACTTTGAAGTTCCCTCTGCCTAGATGGACCTGTGTATGGAACTCAAAGCACTTCAGAAAAAGCTACGACTGATGCCCTGGACCTATGCCTTCTATCTAGTATTCTAAATTTAGCTTCCAGGACCTCTCCCCTACATCTCTCAACATCATTGGTACCAATACATACCACGACCACAGGCACTTCCCCAGTGCTCGCCTGCAGTTTGGTTAGATATCTCATGATGTCTGCCACCTTTACACCTGGTAGTGAAGTCACCAACCTGTTCTGATAGTCGCCAACTGTCTACATTTCTCATGATCAGTCTTCTGTCACCACAATCAGTCTTTGGGTATGTCTACGCTGCAAAATAACTTCTGCAGCAGCAGTCTGAGCCTGGGTCAACTGACTCAGATTTGTGCTACAGGGCTAAAAAAATAGCAGTGTATACATTCTCGCTCAGCCTGAAGCCCAGGCTCTGAGACCCTCTCCCCCTTCCCAGGTTTCAGAGCCCAGGCTCCAGGCCAAGTGGGAACATCTACACTGCAATTTTTAGCACCATAGGGCAAACCCAAGTTGACCTGAGCTCTGAGACTTGCTGCTACATTTTTGTTGTTGTTTGGGGTGTGTGTGATTTTTTTTTTTTTTTTTTTTTTTTTTCTGCAGTGTAGAGGTATCTTTTCTCTCCCCACTAATTCAGTCCCCTGGAATGACCTCCTCAGTACATGAGGAGCTGTCAGTCTCTACTATTTCAGTCGGAAGGGGAGTCCCATCTAAGGGGGTATGTTCCTCCATTCCACCTTGGTGCCCCTTCCACCATGAGTCTGGCTTCCTCAATCGGATGATTGTGGAAGTCAGTTCTGAGGTGAGCCTACTCCAGTGTCCCTATATGCAGAGTCTATAAACAATTCCATCTGTCACTGCTCTTCCAGTTCAGCAGCTCTGTGCTCAGGATGCTGTACACGGGCTCTGATAGCCATGAGCTGCTTGTATTGGGTGTGTATGTACGCCACTTGGCCACAAAGCAAATAGTCATTCATACATTTTGCACTCTGCAACAAATTGGTTAGTGCCCTCCCTGGCTAATTTGCTACTGATTTACCTTCATAGCTAGACTGAGTTTTAACTCTGATTAGAAATGAATTTAACTTTGTTGTGGTCTGTTAATTATTCAAGGAAAAGGTTTTATTATTATTCAGTTTTTAATTCCTCAGTCTGCCAGGTGATAACAGTTCAATTTAAAGCTTTCTTGCCCTCTGTGACTGACTACCACTCAGTCCAAGCTCCCTTCTTCTCAGTCACCCTGAGAGACCCCAGATGATGTCAACACTACAAAGAAAAACCCATAGTTGGCCCATGGCAGCTGACTTGGGTTTCTCGGGTTCAAGCTGTAGGACAGTTTCATTGCGGTGTAGACTTCCAGGCTCAGGCTGCAGCCCGAGCTCTGGGACCCTCCCATCTCACAGGATCCTAGATCCCAGGCACCAGTCTGAGTACAGACGTCAACACTGCAATTAAACAGCCCCTTAACCCATGCTCCGCGAGCCCGAGTCAGCTGGCCTGGGCCAGCCCCGGGTGTCTAATTGCTGTGTATACATTCATTCATTTCTTAACTCTGTAGATGCATCTACCTTGAACAAAGGTTGAAGGCCTTAGCACCTCCAAAGGCTAAGATTTTTGTCATGGATATTTTTAGTAAAAGTCACGGACAGGTCACAGGCAAAAAAGGAAAAATTCACAGAAACCATGACCTGTCCATGACTCTTACTAAAAATATCGGGACAAAATGGGGATCTGCGGATTCCCACAGGCATGAAGGGGGGCAGCTGCGCAGGGGTTAGGAGCTGCCTGGAGCAGCTAGGGCCTGAGGGGTACCCCTGCTGCTGCAGCTCTGAGGATCCCCTGCTGCCTGTAGGGGCTGGGAGCTGTGGGGTGCCACAGCTCCCATGTCAGCCCGAGCTCAGGGGTTCCCCTGCCGCTGCCCGGGAGCTTGGGGGTTCCCACAACCTTCCGCGACTTCTGTGACTAAATCATGGCCTTATTCATGATTAGCTCAGTCTCCTGAAGTCTGGTTTCAAAGAACCTAGTATTACACCTACCTCAAAGAGCCTAACTCTAGGGTTATGTCTACATTGCACAGCTTACAGCAGCATAGGTATGCTGCTAAAGCCTTGCCGCTGTAAGGCACACAATGTAGGCGCTCTTTGTTGCCAGGAGAAAGCTCTCCTGCCGACAAAATAAACCCACCCCCAACGAGGGGCAGAAGCTTTATCAGCGAGGAGTGTCTCACGCCGACAAAGCGTTGTCCACATGGGCACTTTTCATCGGTAAAACTTTTGTTGGTCAAGGGGGTGGTTTTTTTCACACTTCTGAGTGACAAAAGTTTTACTGATGAAAATGCAGTGTAGACATAGCCTAAATCTGAGTGTCTTTTTAATATTAAACTTGAACCTAATTTACAATCTGATTGATTGTTTGCTGTAGAAGCAGTTAAATAACAGCAGTTTCAACCATGGCAATTAGATGCTGCCCTTAAACTAGACTACATTTTTTTCCGCCAAGAATAACAACCCAAATTGAGTATAGGTGTCACAGTTACAGGACTAGCTATACATTTGTACTCTTTCTGGTCTCTCAGAGTTTCTCCTCTCAGGTTTCAGACCTCCACCTATTCTGGCTAGAATTCCACAGTTCTCCCACTCTTACACCAGGCCCTGGGCTACAGTACCCTGAGTATCAACTGTGCAAGTCTGACTCTGGTTCTTCTCTTTGGGAGTCTGTGACCAGAATACCTCCTTAAAACAAAAGTATTGTTTTTTTTGCAGTGGGAGCAACGTATTTAGAGGAAAAAGGATTTTAAAACAACAAATAGTCTAATGCATGTCTGTCCAACCTAAAGGCTTACCATCCCCTGAGGTAGTTTTAGGCAGCCTGACTTTTTTTCAGACACCACAGCAGTTCCTGTGTGCCTGGTTCCCCTGAACAACGCCCCAACAGTTCTCCCCTCACTCTTGAGAATGGTCCTTTTTAAGCTCCATAGTCCTTTTGGTTCCCAGGCCTTGGCTATGTAAGTTGGCTGGAGCCAGGAAGTAGAATCTTCAAAGCTAATAGTTCAGGTATTGTCTCTTAACAACCCATATGTGTTTACTGAAGGGTGTCTTATATTGAGCCATTGTTTCCCTATCAGCTTGTTTTTCCTGACAACTGCCCTATTAAACTAAATCAACATATTAATAAGTAAACATCCTAATAACCAGGTCAATATACAGTATTCAGAAATGATTACAGAGCATCTCCACTTCTGTCACATAGGGTTCAAGCAAAAGCAAGGACACTTACCTGAAAGAACTCCAGCTCAGTCCAAACAGTGCTGTGGTCACTCTGTCTGTTGCCTTCTTACTCTGTCTGGGACCTCTCCTCTCTTGAGAACTGAGTTCAGAATCCCAAGTTTCTTCTGTTCGAATAGAAGATGTCATAAGCGCCATCTCTTCAATTATATTTCTCATTTTCTCTTGTCCATTTGGCTCTGTTCTTATATACTATTTTTCTTTTTTGCTTTCTCGTTTTTTTCTGCACTCTTATCTAATAATAATAATAATAAAAACTCCCAGCTCTTATTCAGTGCTTTTCATTTGTAGATCTCAAAGGAGGTCAGTGTCATTATCCCCATTTTACAGATAGAGAAACTGAGGCACAGAGAGAGCAGGTGACTTGTTCCAGGTCTCCCAACAGGCCAATGACAGAGCTGGGAATAGAATCCAGATCTCCTGAGTCCCAGTCAAGTGCGGTGTCCCCTAGGTTACACTGCCTCTAGTGGCTTCCCTTCCCATTTATTCCTCCTGCTCACCAGAATGCTGCATGCTGCTGTGGCTGGGGATTGAGACATCCATTGAAGTTTCTTGCGGGAGGCCACATTTACTATCCTGCTAAATTCAGGCAAGTGGGAGAAAAGAAGATAAATACTCTTTTTGCATACCGTACATTTTTTACCAAAGAACAGTGGTTGAGAGATAAGGTCCATGGTAGAAGAGTGTAAAAAAAATTTTCAGACAGTTAAAAACCAAAGATGTTGAAGCATTCATGACAGCAAAAGCTGTGTTCTGCATGTTTTTGCGAAGATTAGACACTGCAGTTTTTACATATTTAATTGACAAATGTCCCTCTGGCAGCCAAACAGTAAATTATTTCCCCATACTAGCAGATGGAGTCTAGAACAAGTAACCAGATGCCTGCAATACATTATGAGTTGCTTGCCTTATGATTAGAGATGTGCAAACGGTCAATATAATACCCAGACTCCATCTAAAATCAGGGTTGGTTCAGGTTCTGTTGTGTTCACACAAATCTACCTTGATGCACATGCCAGGGCTGCTAACATTTATACAAACACCTGTGTGCCAGAATCCATCCTTTTGTTGTCTTCAGGGATGCAGCTGGGCTCCTGGAACTGAGAGTTAGACACTGCAGTTAGGCCTGTGCCAGCTGACGTTGGCTCTCAGGGCTCGGGCTGTGGGGCTGTTTTATTGCAGTGTAGACATTTGGGCTTGGGCTGCAGCCTGAGCTCTGGGACCCTCCCACCTCCCAGGATCCTACAGCCCGAACTCCAGCCTGAGCACGAATGTCTACACCACAGTTAAACAGCCCCTTAGCCTGAGTCGGCTGGCACAGGCCAGCCAAGGGTTTTTAATTGCAGAATTACCCCAAGAGGCCTCTTTCTTCTGCACAGTCTTTGAGGATTTTTTCATTATGATCCATTGTCTCTTCCAGTTCTAATAAGAGCCTTTGGTGCCCAACCCTTCTCTGCACTAGTGCAGCAGGAAAATATACCCAGTGCATAAGCAGAGTTGTTTATAATCCTTAATATATGTCCCTTCCTTAGTCCTATTTCTCCTGTGCTAGAGATTGTGGGGTATGTCTACCCCTGTGCTCATTGTGGGAACAGCAACTAGAGCATTTTCCTGCTTCCATGTGGACTTCTGTCCCAAACTTAATACCCTTCTGAGAACTAGGAGGGAGCTGTCCACATCAGGTGACCTCCAAAAAACTATAAGGTTGGGTGACAGCTTGGAGTCCCTTAAAGATCCAGAGTATGTTGGAAGGGGCCCTCTAGCCCCGGGGCCCAGCAAGGGATCAGGGCTTTGGAGCCCCCTTTGGAGGCACAAGTGGTAGGAATCAGAGTATACAGAGAGCATGAACAGGTGGGAGTTGTCTTACCAACTCTGAGAGGCCAATTAAGTAAGAGAAAAAAAACTTTTGAAGTGATAATCAAGATAGCTCAGTACAGACAGTTTGATAAGAAGCAAGTGTGAAAATACTTACAAGGGGAGATAGATTCAAGTAGTAGGAAGGGGTCATAGTCTTGGGTGAGATTAGAGCTGGGGTGCAACTTCTATCTGGAGATTCAGGTTTATGTAACATGAATGTCTCATCCTGTCTCAGGTTTGTTAGGAGGGGAGGAGCTGGGTCAGGGGCTTCATTTTGACTGTATAATTTTGTCTGGTTTAGGCCCTCATAAACTTTTAAAATCCCTAGTAAAGTTTATTTTCTTCTTTCTCTTTGTTTCTTAAGCAACTGTGTTGCTATGGACTGGGATAAAGATGGGGACACCTTAGCCATAATTGCTGACAAATCTAGTACCATTTATCTGTGGGATGCCAACACAAACAAAACAAGCCAGGTGGACGGTGGCATGAGGTAAGAAAAACTCTTCTTGTAAAATGTAAAACGCATGTCAAGAATCATACTAGTACAGTATGCCCTTCTTGGTGCTACATCCTAAACCCATTTGGAAGCTGAAACTAATGCAGAATGCAGCACCCTGCTTCTTGAGTGAGGTATGTTGCCACAAGGACATTACACTGGTGTTTTGTAGTTTTAATTGGCTATCTGCAGGTTTCAAGGTAGAGCCCTATAATGGTCTATAATGCCCTAAATGGCCTCAACCAGTCTACTTGAGAGATTATCTCTTTCCCCACGACGTGCTACTGCCAAAATTGGGATCAATAGAAACACTTGATCTGGAATCCATTCAGTTTAAAACAGAGGTTGCTGCTGGGAAGGCACTTTCCCTAAGGGTTCCTCAACTTTGGAACTCGTTTCCCACACCCGAGTTCTAAAAAGGATGAATCTCTTGACCTTCAGGTATATTGCAAAGATCTTTCAATACAGCTTTTGTGGGTAAGGTGTTGCTGAAGGGTAATATCTAATCTTGTTGCTGTAAAGATTAGCTGATCATTGTTGATACACCTCTACCTTGATATAATGCGACCCGATATAACATGAATTCGGATATAATGCGGTAAAGCAGCGCTCAGGGGTGGCGGGGCTGCGCACTCCAGTGGATCAAAGCAAGTTCGATATAACGCGGTTTCACCTCTAACACAGTAAGATTTTTTTGGCTCCTGAGGACAGTGTTATATCGGGGTAGAGGTGTATATGATGGAGTTTGCAGCTGGATATTTTTTTATTGTATGATTTGTGTTTTTAAAAGAATGTCAACAGTGCCTAAATCCTGAGAGAGTCTCCATCTATTATTAGTTACATAGCAGTAGCACCCACCATGTGCTAGGTACTCTTTGAAGCACATACGATAATAAAGTCCCTGCCCCCAGAGTCTTTCATCAGCAACAGAAAAAATATTTTCCTCTTCACATGACTTATCAGAAACTCGATCCTGATTAACAGTCACAGACTCTGAATGCATCTTATTTTGCTCGCTGTTACTTTACGTCCATCCAGTCTACGTAGCTGGGATATGAGCAGCCCCTGTTACAGAAATATCTATTCCTTTAGTACTTCTGCTTCTATTACCATTTATTATGCTCTTCATGTTTATTACTTTTTAAACTAATAATAAAACAGACAAAATTTCCTTCAAGGGCATTTACATACATCAATTCTAAAATCCAATTACATGAGGGAGACTGTATCAGTAAGGAAGCCATACCTAATTGCATACAACAATATAAATGCAACAGAAATATCAGGACTCAGGCTTGGCTGACAGGTTAGGCTGCAGGGAGATTGAAATAATATTATCTTTTTACTAAATTCAATTAAAATATTAGCTTTTTGTATTAACTCTTCAAAAATCACACAAAACACAGTCTTCCTCTATCTGAAACTCAAAGCAAAAATAGCTTCTGCTAAGCTTTCTTACTACGTTGGATAGTTTGTAAATCAAAAAGAACTATGATCTACCATGTGAATACAGTCATGTGATCAGTCCCAACTACACCGTTAAAATACAAAAAAATTCAGAAAAGCACCATCTTTTTAAACGTTTCTTAGAAATTTATTGTCAACTTGATTATGCTTAGAGCTTATGGACAGATGCCCACTTTTAGCATTTGTACACGTCAAAATATTTAAACAAACCAGCTTTCTCCCCCTGCCCCTCTCCCCCAACCCCCCAGTTCATCGCTATTTAGTGAACGCTTAAGCAAGTCTGAAAGTGGCAAACTCACCCTAAACAAATGAATTAAAAAATTTAGCTCAGGTTTACACAACACTGTGCAAATACAAAACAAATAATTATAGTTAACAATGCGCTTGTTTTAAGTTTAAAAGAGAATCTCACTGATATGCCATATAAGATGATTTTATTGTGTTTTTTAATATTTCAGAGACCCAATGTCTTTCTTGCTTTGGTCCAAAGTTGGAGCCTTACTTGCTGTTGGAACAACTAAGGGAAACTTGCTTATTTATAACCGACAGACTTCTCGCAAGATTCCTGTCCTTGGTATGTACTATACTGAATTCAGAGGATTTGTATGTTTCTAACTGAGAGCACAATTTTACTCATAGTGTTAAGCTTCCTTTGTGTTCAGTGTAAAAATATGATAATCTATAACTGTAACTCCAAAATGTACCCTTGTTCAAATGGCTACTTCTGATTTATTATTCTTACTAGAATGGTGTCTTATAGAATACTTTGTAAAACACCTCTGTGATGACCTAGTGGCAAAGTTCTGTGCTGCCGTGTGGGAAACTTGGGTTAAATTGTCTCCCTTGCTCCACAAGCCAGAAAATTGGCTGTGGAATTTTTCATGTTGTTAACTATCTTTCCTATGGTATATTTGAGGAGAAACATCAATAAACTTCAGAGTTCCATTTGGGCAGGAAAATGGTGACTGCCATAAATGGCTTGAGAAGTTTGATGCAAATCAAGTGGGAAGATGAGACGTTCCTTAAGGTTCCATAAAGATACAAAGGCTTCCCTCTCAGGGATTTTTTATTTTTTTTTTAACTAGAAACAAACTTTGATAACAAATATTTTCCACTGGCTATCATGCCTTCTTGAATATTCACCATGTCAGTTTTTTGTTTCACACCCTAATTATTTTCTAAAAATGTACATACTTGAATTACATTAATCTTTCCTTTAATTTTTTAATGTTTTTTAAAATATGTGTATTGTAGGGCTCAAACCTGCATTGGCTGGGTTATGAATTGGAGGCCACATTTCCATCTCTAATTTTGTATGGTTTTTTATACGTATAAATTAGATATATATCTGTTTTTCAGGTAAACACACCAAGCGGATCACTTGTGGTTGCTGGAGTACTGAAAATCTGCTGGCACTAGGTAGTGAAGACAAAATGATAACTATTAGCAATCAGGAAGGAGATACTATAAGACAGGTAATAATAGCAGCATCTTTATCTAACTGTTATACTTAGTTTATGATCCTGGGGCAAGATTCTGTGCTGATCTCTGAGAGTCACAACACTGGACTCACTCTCAGCCCAGTTGGAGTGGATGCTAAAGTGGCTATAAGTCATCTTTGCACTCTCCCAATCCTGGACTGCTCCCAGGGCTGGAGCATAATGTCAGCATACTTTGGGGCCTGTCTAAGTTATAGCAGCCTCTTTGGGTTGCCCTATTGGCTGCAGACTCTGCAGCACTGCATGTTATGGGCCTGCCCCTGAAATGCTGCTCATCACCTCTGCCCCGGTTTATCCCCTATGCCAGGGCTTGCAAGGGGTCCTTGGAAAGCAGCCTTTCCACAGTGTCTGTACCAGGGGAATTCTTCCATGGCCAGATACAGGGCTTTTAGGGCACCTTTAGGATGCTCCAGCCCTTTTACTCTTTGTAAAGTGACTGGAGTAGGGATGAGGATGTTGACCCTGAAGTGTAAGGTAGACCTTCATTACCCCTTTTGAGATGCCAATTCCCTTCTTCCCTCTGATCAGAGTTCTAAGTGTTTTCTTATGTAAATTAGAATCCTTGTGAGCAAAGGCACTTTCTGGATATGCACAACATTTATAGAATTCACTTAATTTCAAATAGTAGAAACAGTGGTTCATTGAATACTTTTTTAAGAGCAGACTGAAATCTTATTTCTTCAAATGGTTGCAGACATTCCTCCCAGGTGTGCACACGCCCAGTGTACTGAATCTGGAGAACTTTGCTTAGCACTCCCTTTTGGGGTGGCACTCGCTTCCTTTGGCCTTTCATAGCCCCTCCCATAGCTATTTAAATGCAGCTCTGCACTGACCTCCCTCAGTTCCTTTTCACTGCCTGCAGCTTGAGTTGGAGAATTCTGTGTGGTATCAAATATCACTGTCACAGTGCTTTCCTATGATTTTGTGTATGTATTTAGTTATAGTAGTGCCCTTAGGATTTAGTTAATTAGTAGTAGTTAGTTAAGTAGGATTTAACCTGGTGTGATGCCCTCACCAGGTTTTAAACACCGCCTGACATGTGGGGTGGCTGTCTCTAATAGTGACCCCACACTCCGTGTTTATTGTGCCTGGGGAAGGGCACAATAAAGAAAAGTGCTCCATCTGTAAGTTGCTCAAAAAGAGAATGTAGGTGGCTAGACACTTGCACCTGAAACAACACCTTATGCCTGCTTCGGTGCTGGGAAGCTCTGCAGATTGAATAGAGCTGGGCCATCTACCCACTCACTGGTACTGAATCAAGATCAGTTGGACACCATACCGTCGACTCCAGTGCCATCAGTGGGCATCCATTGAGTCTGGTATCAACGACATCGGTGTCGGCACCAATTGTTTCCACCCCACTGATGTGTCAGGTAGTGCTAGACTTTCTATGCTTTTCTAGTTCCTGATTCTCTATTAATACAGGAGCATTCAGCTGCAGTGGCTTCTTCTGTGCCCTTGCAGAATTGTCACCATTATTGGCACTATTTTCCACCATTCCTGAAAGTCTTTGATTCCTCCGGGATTACCATTTGTACAGGGATCTGCACTGGTCCTGCAGTAAGGACAGAGGCTCTTGGTCCAGTTCATACTGGCCACCAATGCTGTATCCTTATCCTGAAGGGCCTCCTTGGAATCCTTTGGATGTTCCTCAGTCTGCAAGGTCCTGATCCTTAGCTCAGTCCAGGGCAAGGTCGCCAATCCCCTCAGTAGTGTCCCTTCTTGAGCCACCTACACTGCAGACACAGACCAAGGTTGCTCCCTCTGAGCTGGTTCAGCCTGAACCATTATTACAGGCACAAGTGTTGCTACAGGAGATCCCCATTGGCTCTGCTCTCTTCCTCTTCCTCCTCACCTGATGACTCCACGGTGCTGGATTTCTCCTCTTTTGTGCCTGAGAATTTTAAATCCTTTCAAGATCTCCTGAGGCAAATGGCTTCAGGCTGAGTTTGCTCAAGTACATCAAATTGGTGGACATTCTCCAGTCCTCAGCTCCAGGAAGGGGAGCTCTCCCAATAAATGAAGCACTTTTGGAACTCGCAAAGACTTTGTGTCATACCCCAGTTTCCTTACCTTTTGTCAGTATGCTTTGCTGTAGTTGTTATTATGTACCTATGCAGGGTTTTGAGTGCTTCTTTTCACATCCAGCCCCAAACTATTATTGTAATAGTGGCAAATGAGAGACTATCTCAGGGGAGATATGAATCCATGCCTAAAGACTTTGGGCTTGTCTATCCTTGAAATGCTATAGCAGCATGCTGCAGCTGCCCCACTTTAGTGCTTCAGTGTAGACACAATCTACGCCAACGGAAGGGGTTCTCCCATCAACATAGGTTATCCACATCCACTAGAGGCAGTACCTATGTCAACGGAAGAATTCTTCCATTGACTTAGCGCTGTCTACACTGGGGGTTAGGTCGACTTAACCACGTTGCTCAGTGGTATGGATTTTTCAGACCTTTGAGCAATGTAGCTGGGTCGACCTAACTCTTTAGTGTAGACCAGGCCAAAGAGTCTGATTGGTTAAATTTGATGGAAAGAAAAATTTGTTCAACCTCATTGTTACAAATGTGCATTTCGAATCAGCAGGCAGTATTATCTGAATATGACTTCGTAAATTGGGAGATGTCAAGGCTGATTTCCCCACTCTGGCAGTTTGAGTGCAGAAGGTGGGGACCTGCAAGAATTAAAAAAATTAATACTGGCCACTACAGTCTGGTATTAAACTCCCAAGGTCACAGCTTCTCTCTGACCTTGGATGGGTCAATGCCACCACCTAAGTGAAAACTCCCACCCCTTTTGAGAACCCAGGAAGAAACACTTGGGAATTCCTTCCTGTGGGATACCCTCAAGCCCTTTCACCCCCCCCTCTGGGGAAGAGCTGAGAAAAAAACAAAGGAAATCAGCTGTTGCCACCAGCTAATTAAACAACATACGTACAAACCTCTTAGGGACACAAAAATCCAATCCTGTTCTTAAAAAAGGTAAAAATTTATTAAAAACAAAAAGAAAGGAAATACATTTGGAATTTAGGCTTAAAAGAAACAATTACAAAAATTAAGCATCAAGATAGCTCTCTTGAGGTTCAGCTTAAAGCAAAACAGAAGCATCTGGGGTTAGCACAGGGGAGTTCACAAGCCAAGAAATAAACCTAATCACGCCTTTCTAAATATTCCTAATTTACTTACACATTTGGGAGTTCCAAATATGCAATTCTAGGTATGATCTGATTATTTTTGATCATACCTGGCTTAAAGCTTCTCAAATCATAACTGCTCCTTGTTCCCCTCCTTCCCATAGAACACCACAGACAGACAAAGGGAAGTTTTTTTCCCATTTTAAAAAGTTTAGTCCTCCCATTGGCTCTTTTGGTCAGGTGCCCACGCCTTTCTTTTTACCGGTGTGCTTGTTAACCCTTTACAAGTAAAGCAAGTAGAGAACAGCTACTAAGAGGAATTTTATAGCTAACTGACTGGCTGGGTGTCCATAAAAGGGAGCTCCCTCCCACCCCCTTCATTTATCACAGGAGGCTATGTCCAAATTTACTGATAAGTTGCCAGAATCCTCCAAGGAAGAGTTCAAGACACGCATTGTGGAAGGCCATCTAGTGGGCAAGATGTCATTGCAGTCATCACTGAACATGGCAGACACTTCTTCCAGGATTATGGCCTCAGTTGTATGTCATGGGGTCTACTCACTGCTGGGGTGCTCCCTTGTGGCTGTATCTGGGGATTAGTTCTGCTCATTCTGACGCCCCTTCCTTGACTTGCTCATGCTGCAGCCCCTCTTGCTCTCTAGGAGTTGGAGTGCTTCCTCTTTTACAGTTTTTCCCTTCTGGGATAACACAGTCTCACAGGACCAGCTGGTCCAGGTTTCCTTCTAGGCAGTCTTACTAAGCAAAACTATGTCACTTTCCCAGTGGCTAGTAGGGGACCCTGGGCCAGCCCACTGGGTTCCAGCCCAGGGACCCTACCATCAGCAGCCAAGAGCTGCACCACCTCAACCCTTACTACCATTTCACTGGGCTTCTTCCTACTCTGCCCTCTGCAGGCTTTCCTTTCTACCTACTAATTTGCTGCTCTTGATCTTCAGGACACTTACTTCCCGGACAAGCCCTTGCGAAAGGTCTCTTTAATGGCGAGATTTGCCCTGCCTAGGTTTTTGGGGGGAGGGATAGCTCAATGGTTTGAGCATTGGCCTGCTAAACCCAGGGTTGTGAGTTCAATCCTTGAGGGGGCCATTTAGGGATCTGGGGCAAAAATCTGTCTGGGGATTGGTCCTGCTTTGAGCAGGGGGTTGGACTAGATGACCTCCTGAGGTTCCTTCCAACCCTGATATTCTATGATCCTATGATCCATATGGCAATTTCCCCAAGCCACAGGAAGTTTCTGAGATTTGTAGCAGCGGGTCAACATTGTCAGTGCTCCCCTTTGGCCTGTCCCTGGCTTCATGCATATTTACCAAATGCATGACTTTAGCAGTAGCATATCTCAGAAAAAGAGGAATTCTTTTCTTTCTTTACCTGAACAATTGGTTAGTGAAGGGCAAGTCTAGAGACCAAGTCCGCTGTTACATCCAGTTCACTCTGTCTTTTCAGTCATCTGGTCTGATTTTGAACAGTCATGGTTAATACCAATACAAAAATTAAGTTCGTTGGGGCCCCACTATACTCGAAGGGCGTTTTTTCCTAATGAACAGTTCCAACCAATTTGTCTCCTGTGATTTTTCCCTCCATTCTCACTGTTCAGCTACAATCCATGTATGCTTGAGATTGCTAGGCAATATGGCCACATGCAATTACATGTTGCAGAATGCAAGATTGTACCTTCATCCTCCTCAGGGCTGATTAAAGTGGTATATCTCCTGAATTGTCAGTCATTTGATCAGTCCACTAGACCATCCAATAAATGTTTGCAAAGGTGTTCCCTTTGCCTACCCTCCACCAATCAGAACCATAGTTACCAATTCCTTCACAGGAGGTTGGGGAATTTATCTGGGGTCATTGAAAGTTCAAGGTTTGTGGACAGATCAGGAACATTCTCTTCATATCAACATCCTGGAGTTTCGAGTCATTTACAGTGCGTACCAGGCCTTTCGGGCACAGATCAAGAGCCCCAGAGTCATAACTAAGCATTTTAGCGCCTCGGGCAAGCAATCATATTTGCATGCCCCCCCAGATTTCTGCCTCCCAATGTGCCCCACAGTTTGAAAACTCACCTCTTTCCAGGAACCTGCAGATCAGAAGCTGGTGGGAGCCGCCTGGCCTACCCAGGCCCCTGGCTGTCCATGCTGTGGGAGTCACGGTGCTGGTTGGTTACCTGGCAGCCCTCCCTGCCCTGCTCCCCGAGCCAGCCACCTCTGCACAGCTGGGCACTCCCCAGGCAGGGTGGGCAGCACAGCTCCAATCTGCACCTGATATGCCTCTGCAACACCTCCTGGAGCTGGCCCCTGCCCATGGAGCCTGGCTGCCATGTGATGCTCCCTGAGGTGCTCCCTGCAGTACTCATCCCCCTTGGGCATCTGCCTCTCAGCAGCCTGGTAACACCCCGGTCCCCACCTAGAGACCTGCCATTGCTTCCAGGTTACTCTTTTCACACTCCCGGCGTGCAGGGTGGAACCATCCCTTGCTCCCCTTGACTGCCCTGCCCCAGCCCTGTGGCTGCAGGGCTTGTGGTCATGCAACTTGAGCTCTGAGCTTGGTGCCCAGCCCAGGCACTGGGGATAGGCAGCTGCTGGCAGGGCAGACTTGCTCCCACCAGCTCCGGAAACCAAGGCTGTGAGAACAGAGTGACCCCTAGGGCAGTGGTCCCCAAACTTTACCTCATGCCCCCCTTACCCCTATCCGCACTCCCCCCACAGAGCCAGGAGCGGGGGATGTGGTTCCGGGAAGGGGGATGCGGATGGGGTAAGCAGGCCGAGGCTTGGGTCACAGCTGGGGGCAGGAGTGGACCCTCAACTGGGGGCCGAGGCCTGTAGCCCCAGCTGGGCGTGGAGCATGGGACAGGCAGCCAGGACCCTTGGTGCCAATCCCTGGGTGCAGGGTCAGCAGCCGGGGCATGGGCCTGGCAGACGGGACCCTTGGTGCAGGGCCAGGAGCGGCGCAGGGCGTCGCTCCCTCCCCACTCCTTGGGCAGCTGGTCCAGGCCCCAGCCACGCCCCATAGATTGAAGACCTCTGCCCTAGGGTTACCCTATTTCAAGTTTCCAAATAGAAGACACTGCCGGGGGGAGGGAAAGGAGGAGCTGGAGCGGGTATTTGGAAGGTGCAGGAGGGGGTACCTGCGGAAGGGGTACCCACTGTAGGTGGGCTGCCAATGCTGTGAGGGGGATGGGCTGGCTTAATGGGGGAGCCCCAGCTGCTGCTGCTGCCGCCGAGGGGATGCTGCATGTGCGGCTCCTGCTTCCCCCCATTCCCCTATCCTCTTCTCTTTCCCCATCTTATCCCATCCCCTTCCTTCCCCACTGCCTCTTACCCCATATCCTCCACCGCCCATCCCCCTGGCCCTTCCTCCCCTGCCACATAAGGCACCCTGCACATGTAGAATGGAAAGCTGAATGGCACTAAGACCCAGGAGGTGGCATCCAGTTGCAGAGGCACTGTCAGCAGAAGAAACAGCTCCATACCACTCCCTCTGCTCCCCACCCAGACCTCTGTTGGGGGAGGGGTCAATGCCCCCCCGGCCCTGCGCCTTGGGCGATTGCCCTTCTCGCCCCACCCTAGTTACAGCCCTGAAGAGCCTGCTCCAACCAGCTTTGTCAGGAGGCAATAAAGTTTTGGCAATTTTGCATCAGGGAAAACATCACTCCCACAGCTGCTCATGTTCCGGGTGCTCAGAATCACTTGGCCAATCACCTCAGGAAAAATTTCTCCCAGAATCACAAATCGTCTCTGAAGGGTAGTATGCCAAGATCCATCTCTTCAGAGAATGGGGCATTCTGACTATTGATTGCTTTGCAACAAAAGACAAGAAGTGCTGTCAATTTTGCTCTCAAGCAGGTCTCAGTCCGGTCTCGTTAACAGACACCTTCTATCTGAATTGGTGATCAGTGTTGAGGTATGTCTCCCACCACAATCCCACTCATTCCACAGGTTGTTCTCAAACTGAAGTTGGATCAAGCCAAATTGATCCTCATTGCACCAGTTTGGCCAAGACAATGTTGGCTCTCTGACCTTCTCAATCTACCTATTTGACCTCCGAGTTCTTTTCTCCTCTATCATGACCTACTGATTCGACACCACAGTCAAATTTGGCATCCGGTACTGAGCAGTCTGCACCTCATGGTTAGATGAGGAGGAAGTACAGTGTGCGGAAACACTTCAGCAACTTCTGCTTAGTAGTAAAAAAACATCCTCTAGGGCTGCCTATTTGGCCAAGTAGAAACATTTTTTGGTTTGGTCACTAACCCGGGGAATTCAGCCGAGGCAAGCCTGTATTCAGGACATTTTTGCATTGCCTGTTACATCTTCATTCTCTGGTCTACCTCTCAGCTTGTTGAGGGTCCATTTAGCGGCAATCTTGGTGTTCTATCCTCCGATCCAAGGGAAGTCAATTTTCTCAAACTTCATGGTAGTGGAGGAGATGTCAATTTCTTTTCACCTGTGAAAGAAGAGATTTCTTTGTTGGACCTTAGTATAGTATTTGCTGCCCTCATAGGATCTCCGTTTGAGCCCATAGCAACCTGTTCTCTGTTGCTTCTTTGCCAAAAGATGGCCTTTCTTTGCCGCAAGGAGAGCGAGTGAAATGCAGATCTTGATGGCAGAGTCTCCATATATGCAATTTTTCAAAGACAAACTGACTCTGCAGCTGCATCCAAGATTTTTGTCTAAGATGGTTTCGCTGTTTTACCTTCATCAAACAATATACTTACCTGTATTCTTTCTAAGCCGCACTCAAATACAGATGAACAGCACCTTTATACATTGGATGTGAGACGTTACTTGGCATTTTATCTGGAAGGGATTAAAGAATTTTATCACTTCAGCTTTTTGTCTCCTATGGGAATCAGATGAAGGAGGTCAGTTGGTTTCCACATGGATGATTTCCAGATGGATCACTTTCTGCATTACAACAGCATATGGGATAGCTCAAGTGCTCCTCCACAGACACTGGTGACTCATTCAACGAGGGCCCAAGCAGCTTCTGTTGTTCTCAGTAATGTTTCTGTACATTTTCAGTGCTGCTATCTGGTCTTCTGTGCGTACTTTTACAAGACACTATGCTGTTTTGACTGCGTCTCAGTCAGATGCCACTTTGGAAAGGCAGTCATCCAGTCGCTGTTTAACTAGAGCCCATCCCCAAGCCCTACCTCTTCGGTTACTGCTTGTGAGTCACCTGAGTGGAATATACATCTGCAACCGCTCGAAGATGAAAAACAGTTACCTATCTGTACTGTAACTGTTGTGCTTTGAGATGTGAGTGCAGACGTGTATTCCACAACCCACTTTCTGTCCCCTCTGCATTGGAGTCTCAAATCTTGATACTTCGTGTGACGGAACTAAGGAGGGGTCGGGGTGGTGCTGCCCTTAAATAGCTATGGGAGTGGCTAGGAGGGGTCTGATGGGCAGTTCTAAGCAAAGTTCTCCGACTTCAGTGCAATGGGCATGTGTACACCTGAGTGGAATACATGGCTGCACCTGCATCTCAAAGAACAATGGTTACAGTACAGATAAGTACCTGTTTTTTCTTTAGCTGGACCCTAGTCTGGGGAGAGTTCAAATGAATCTATGTTTTGGCTGAATTTTGTATATAGTAAATGGCTTTGGAATTCATATGGAAGCAAAGCTATATAAATACAACATGAATCTCCTTATGGGTGAGTAGACAGGGCTGCTTGTTTCATCTCATCCGCTTTTGTCTTTAAATGTCGGCCCTGTCTTCTTTTCCCACTACATTCTTTTGCTGCATGACTTTAATTGGTCACGCCACTTCAGTTACTACCCTGTCTACAAAACAACATGAAGATCTGCCTGTTCATCTCTATTTAGACTTGCATCTGTAACTGCCATTTAGACATGTAAACCTGGATGTTCCCTGGCAATTCAAGCTCAACATGATCAAAACTGATCTTTTCCCTTTCCTTTCCTTTCCTTTCTTTCTTCTGTTATTAATGAAGAAAGGATGTTGGAGTTGTGAATAAAGGGAGAATAGTGGAATTGTTGTAATTATTTATTTATTTATTTATATTGCATTAACACCCAAAATATTCTAGATAGGATAAGTGTCCTCTTACCTTATCTGTGCAGTGCTTGGCACACTGTGCTACATAAATAAATAATATCTGAATCTGGACTTCCTTCTCGCAGACTTCAGTGAGATCGGATCCCAGTGATATGCAGTTCTCAGTGATGAAGACTGATGAAAGAATATCAACCAGGGAAAGCACAGTAAGCAGACTGTATGAAACCAATGCACAACACCATTCAGCACATCTCAGATGTTGTTCTGAATGTAAACAGAATGCCCTACCTGTCTCTGCCACATTAGCATACAGTATTACTTAAAAGGTTCAGATGGCGTTATCTGAAAAGGAAGAATTAATTTGATTAAAATAAACAAACTATACTACAAACTAAAGTAAAGTTGCTGTGGTATCTTTAGAAGAAGAGCTTAAAATAATAGTAATTCTTAAACATTTCAGACCTTTAGCTCTTACGATGACTAGTGGTACTCACATTTAAGAACTAAATGCTTTAAGAGGTTATGACTAGAGATGGGCTGAGGCCAAATCTTTGGATTCACACACACTCAGACTTTGAGGAAACTCAAATCTCTTGTTATCAGCTATTACCGTTTTTTGGGTTTGCACTGGGGCTTGGTTTTTCCCCCAAATATGTTAAGAAACAGGGTTGGGGGGAGGGGGTTTATTAGTATTTTAATACTCCTAAAATAGGCGTTAGCATGAATAGTGCTTCACTTTTAGACTGAGGGCAAACAGAGAATGATCTAAATTAAGATAGAAAATAACCTTTTTGTTTAATATTCTTGTCAATCCAAGCAAACACAAAGCATGAGACATAAAACAAGTTCTTCCTTGTTTTCTTGTTATAGGTGTTATAGTAATAAGCCTCTATTTTCTGATGATCTCCTCCCTTCCCTGTGTTACCCTGCATTGAGCTAGCTTCTACTTTGTCTGATAGTAATGCTATTTATTTGGTCGCCAGAGAATGCAAAAAGAGAGCATTGAAAACTGAGACAAAATCCATCATCTCTGTGGATTTCCTCAAATAAGAAGCATTTATCTAGATAGATATTAAATTGTATGTCTTCATAATTTTTAAGGAAATCATTTTAAAATTACTTGAATAGGTTTTAAGGACATTTCATTACATTATTAAATATTTTTTATGTTTAGAAATGTTATCTGTTTAGAAGCTTTGTTTATATCATTGACTAACATTAGCCACCAGAGCTGTGATACTGTTTCCTTGCTCTCTATGGATGACAATTCTCTGCATCCCAAAAAACACAATATCCTTTGATTTTATGTTATAACTTGACCAGTGGAACTAGACCTTGAACTGAATTCTGAAGGATAAAAGCTTTGTCTTTTAGTAAAAACAGTAGTGTTTTTATTTTAAAATGGCGTTCTCACTGGGTGTGTTTTTCACTTTGTCAATTGGCAGGTAAGCGTGGTGGTTGGCAAGAAAACATTGTTTCTTTTTAATCTGAATGATCCTGATAACCCAATTGATCTGGAATTTCAGCAACGCTATGGCAACATTGTAACCTATAGATGGTGAGTAAGCACTAACTTCTTAATATTGCAAGAAAAACCTGAGGTTTTTATCTTTCTAGTTTATTTTCATTTCTGGTATTTATCCCACTATCACATGAGGATTTTTGGGTTTATACAGTATCTTTTTAATACAATATTCCTTTCAGACTAAAGCAGTGGTCCACAAACTGTGGGGCATGCCCCTCTAGGGGGACATGGAGGAATGTTCAGCGAGTGCATGGTGGGGCCCGGGCCAGTTCCCACAGGGGGTGGGGAGGGAGCACCACCCAGCCCTGCTTCATTCCCAGCCCAGCTCTGGCCCCAGCTGCAGCTCTGCTGCTCCCCAGCTCTGCCCCAATCCCAGTTCCAGCCGCAGGTCTGCTCTGGCCTCAGCCACCGCTCCTCTATGTCCCCTGCTCTGCCCCCAGCCCATTCCTCAGCCCTCATGATTTTGTAAACATACTCTCCACTCCATTATCCAAGTATTAATGAAAATATTGACTAGTACCAGACCCAGCAGGGCTGGCCTTAGGGTTGGGTGGGCTGGGCAACGGCCCAGGGGTGCCGTTCTAAGAGGGTGTCTCCGGAGCAGGGGTGCCCCTCCTCCCCCCTGCTGCGCTGCTCTGTTGCTGTCTGCATCCACTGCTGCTCCTGCCCCACCCCTCTTCCCTGCCTTGGAGCCGCCCCTAGCCAAGCTGCTCCCGGGAGCCTCCTGTCTGCTGTTTTCCTATGGTGAGGACCTCAATGAGGAGAGGAGATCTAGACACCGCTCCCACCAACAAGTATTTTTATATCTGCTGTAGGAAGACTCAATGCATTTCTGTCTTTCTTTCTTCAGCAATCTGACTTCCATCCTGCTCGGGAGTTTTTTCTCATATTGCGTTACTTTCTATGCAGCCAGGCTGCCCAGCCATCTCTCTCTCTTTAAATGTTGGTTTTGCTATAGGTATGGTGATGGCTACATCATGATTGGCTTCTCACGTGGGTGCTTTGTTGTTATTTCTACACACATTCGTGAGATTGGTCAAGAGATTTTTCAAGCTCGCAATCATAAGGATAACCTAACCAGCATTGCAATATCACAATCACTAAACAAAGCTGCATCATGTGGAGACAACTGGTAAGTGATCATATTTGTTTATAAAATGTTTGAAATAGCAAGTGTCTTAAAGCAAACACTATTATTTATTTTCTTCATTGTTCTAACTTTTGATATCTTGTTTATTTTGTATTGGCTAATGTGATACTTGAATACAAAAGTGTTAGTGACATACTTTCATTATTGTGTGCTACAGATTAGACACAGAATGCCTGTTAGCAGTAGTAGGAATTGTTCATCTAATCCACTTCATGTGCTATTGAGAAAATTTAACCCATTTATGGGATAATAAGGGTTGATCTGCACACCATTTTTGTAACAGTATAACGGTATATCTGTTTAGAAACCAACATAGTTAAAAGTGTGGATGCAATTAGCCAGTATAAAGGTGTTACTATCAGTATACCTGAATTTACAGAAATAAGTTATATTGATGTAAGGACTGTTATATCAACTGTATAACTGGGCCCACATGAGGGGGGAGGTTGTACTATTTTAACTGTGTCTATTTTTAAACGAGTATAGTGATACAAATACTGTGTGTAGACAGTCCCTCCGTTTGTTTGATGTCTAAAACTTGACTTCTTTAGAACAAGCTAAAATGCATGCATCCTGCTCTGAAGCTAAACAAACTCTCTGGCTTGGGCAAACCACTACCTGGAACAGTTTTCAAAGGCTGGGACCCTCCACTGAGAGACCATGCCACCATCCTTGAAGAGTTTTATCTCAGAAATAGACAAGAAGATAATCTCAATTTCTATGATGGGCCTAATGTGAGAGTTGGATTTTCACACTGTGAGCAAACAGACAGATTAATTGTCTGCATGTCTTTTATTATGTATTTGTACAGCACCTAGCACAACGGAGTCCTGATTATAAATGTTTATTATTTGTACTACAGTAGCACCTAAAGACCTCTGACCCAGAGTTCAGGGTTGCATTATGTTAGGCATTGGATGGATGGACTCCAAAACTGACAGCTAGAGTTTATATTCTAATTAAGCTAATCATGGTTGGGGCCTCAGCAATGGCTACTGTAAAGCAAATAATAAAACTAGACCTGCCATCCAGGTGGCACAAGGATATCAGTCTTTGGCAGAGAGCGCTTCCTTGATCAATGTCTTGAAACCAGAGTGGTAATGCATGCCCTTCACATTATGCAAGAACTGAAGGGCACAACAGTTGGAATCCAAAGACACAGCACGATAGCATCAACCATCAGAGGGTATAAAGAGCTGAGTATTAAGCTGTTGAGTCTTTCAACTCTAGATCACTAGTTTAAATCCATCCCACTTTCATATTCAGTTGTTTCCACATGGTGGTTATTCAGTAGCTTAATTAAAATGAGTCCAGTCTCTAGTAGATGAGGGTCTGACTCACCAAAACCACCACCACATTTGTTACTAATTGGAACCCTTACTGGCAATCTCAACAGAAAGGCCAAGGTTTGAATGGATATGGAGACTGAATGTGATCCTCTCATTCTTCTTCGCGTGCCTGTCCATATATATTCCACTGTTGATGCATATACATCCCAGGCACTCAAGATTGGAGTCCTTTGGCCAGCAGTGTCCATTGGGGCTGCACAGGCACGGTGAGTGTCATTCTGCTCACATACCAAAGGCATTGCGGGTTTTGCAGGCCCTAGTGCCACTCAGTTCCTTCACCATTGCCCATATCTGTGAGATATAGCTCCCTAGTGTCTTGACACAATTTTCATAAACTTTTTGTGGATTGTTGTCTATATTATTGTTAGTTAGGATAGTTTGCCTGTTGGCAAGTTTTGGTAGTTTACTTCCTTGTTTTCTTTTCATTTTCTCTCTTATCAGGAGCTTCTTCCTAATACCAAGGCTTAGGTCTCATCTGAAGTTGCCTGGCTTTATGTATTGCTCCTCTTGTGAGGTGCCATGATCAGTTGATGGATATCCCATATGCGTTTTTTGGTTGGGGAAGGTCATATCCCTGATAAATGCAAGTCCTTTTTCTAAAAGGACTTTGAAGGCAAGAGAGACACACCTTAATCTGTTTTTATTTGACTGCTCTATGCAGCCTGCCTCTGATCCAGGATGGGGAGAACCCCCTCCTTCCCCAGGCAGGTTTGATTTCAGTCTAGCCTATATGAGTTCCAATTACTCTAGTTTGTGGGCCCCATCTTCTAAGACTGTCCCAGCTATGGATGTGAGTAGAACTGAAAAGGTCAGAACCTTGGAGAAAAAGGAGCATCACTCCTTTGGGAAGAGCAGGGGCAGATCCCTGCTGGGAATTCCTAGTAAAAAGAGGTCCAAGTTCCCTCTCCACTCCCAATCTAAAGAGACTCCTTCGTCTGAGTTGAGTACCTCTAGAACTCTGAGGGGGCAAGTTACCAGAACTCTGGCACCATCTCAAGAATCAAAACTAGCTGCCTCTGAGACCAGAGCATCGGGGCTACTTCAAAACCAAGTGCTCCGCCACCAACTCTTGCTGCACCAACCCTTTTTGATACCAGTCTCTTTGGTACTGTTTCCTTCGACACCGAGTACTTTAGCACTGGACATGTCAGCACAATCCACCCTGGTGCTATCCATCCCCACACCGAGGTTAGGCACCATCCTTCTCTATAGTGAAGAAGCATGCTGTATCAAAGGATATTCATGTCCTGATGAGCCAGAATCTTACATAGAGCCAAATTTCCCCACCAGAATGACAATGTCAGTACTGGGTGGTCTGCTCAATGCAGGTTAACGTTGCAACCTAGGGCACTAGCTTCAGCAGCCTCCCACTTAGATCTTGAGTGCTCTTGCTTCTCATCAAATTCCCAACACAACAGGGAGAGATCCCCTACATATTCACCAAGGACCCCCTCATTTGCTCCTTATGCGTCTGAAAGAGAGTCAAGGGCTTCATTCATGCCTGTATCATATAGGGGGTATGGGAGTAGACATATGCCCTGGTCCCCTTCTCTCTGGCCCCCAGGACCTTTTCCATGTAATGTTCCATTATGGCTCTTTTGAAACATCTGAGGTCTTCATCATATGAGGCACCACACTTCTGCACCACCATCCAGAGTAAAACCTCCTCTCCTGCTCCTTCCCAGGGACCTAGGATTTCTCAGCTTGCAGTCCATGATGTTTGTAGGACCTTTTTTTTGGAAAGATCCAGAACTTTCAGAGTTTCCACAAGATAGCATTTGCTGATAGAATGAAGAGTAAAGTGATACAAGCTCAGAATATCGGTCTGTAATGTATTAGGGCTGTATTAGGGTCTATAATGAGCTAGCTAGTTTATATCCTCCAGCTGAGATTAAGGCTCTTTCTACAGGGCCCAGGCAGCCTCGGCAGCTTCTTTGCAAACTATACCCATTCCAGACATCTGCAGGGCAGCTACTTGGGGTTCAGTTCATACTTATACAGTTCATACGTCCATTACCTTGTGGAAGCATTGAAATCTGATGCTTCTTTTGGCAGAACAGTGCTGCAATCTTTAAGTAGACTCCAAGCACCCACCTCCTTACATTAGGTTACTGCTTGTGAGTCACCAAGAGTGGAATATATGTAGACAAGCACTCAAAGAAAGAAAAGTTACTTACAGTAAATGGCGTTCTTTGACATATGTTGTCCATATATATTCTACAACCCTCCCTCCTTCCCTGCTACTATGGAATCCTATAACACCTGGAGTCTGTGATGGCAAAGGAACTAAGTGGCAGTTGGGCACACACTGCCCATTGTGCTCTCAGTCCTGGAGCATGTGGACACTTAAGGAACATGTGTGGCCCCAGAACCAGGACTGGATTACCCAATAGTCAGACTAAGCACGTGCTTAGGGCACCAGCAAAGCAGAGGGCACCAAAAAAAATGAGGGTTTTTTTTAAAAAAAATTTGATATTCGATATTTCAAAAAAAGCATTGAAGTAGTCATCATGGGAAAAATCAGAACTTTGTTAGACTTCTTTACACTCCACTACACACTCTTCCCCCGTTTTTCTGTTCTCTTTTTATTACTTATCCCCACCTAAACCAGGGGGGCGTCCTACTAACGTAGATCGAAATAATGCAAGGAAATCAGAGACTGTAACTGATCATCCTACTCCTGGTGGTAAAACAGACATTGTTCTAGAAGATGTGGATGTGTCAGAGACTGAACCTGATCATGCTGTAAATAATAGGAGAAAAGATCCTGGTATATGGGTTGATTTCAGTATCGATGATGTAGCTTACTGGATAGATCGTGGACCAAATGACTGTCAACACCACACTGGGCCATTTGAGAAATCACGTCGGACTTTTACCAATGGCAAACAAACAAGATATTGTCCACAAAAAATATTTTTCGGCATGAAAGCGAATAGAAAGAGAAATACACTCGAGAATGGCTACTATATTCACCATCAACAGGCTCTGTGTACTGTTTTGTTTGCAAACTTTTTGCATATAAACCTTCAACATCCCGGTTTGCTGCAGATGGATTTAGTGACTGGCGGAATACTGTTTTAATTGAACAACATGAAAATAGCACTACTCACAAAGATTCAGTGTTGACATATTTAAATCGAAGACAGGGCTTTGGATTGACACAAAAATTGGAAGAACAAATTAAAGGGGAGCGTGAATACTGGCAACATGTCTTGCAGCGTGTTATAGCTGTTATTCAAACATTAGCTGAACGTGGTCTGACACATTTGGATCATTGCAGAATGGAAATTTCTTGGGATTGTTGGAGCTTGTGGCTCAGTTTGACCATTTTTAGCAGGCCATATCTCAAAAATGGGAATGCTAGCAAAGGTAACCCATCATACTTATCCAAGACAATATGTGATGAACTCCTTGGTCTAATGAGTGACAAAGTTCATTCAGCTATTGTGGATGAAATAAGTACTGCTGGGTACTTCAGTTTATCTGTCGACTCTACACCTGATCTTTCACATATTGATCAATTGAGTATTGTACTAAGATATGTGTCTCCCACAGATGGAAGACCAGTTGAACGATTTATAACATTCCTCAATTTGAAAAGTCACACTGGTGAAGAAATGGCAAATCAAGTACTGCATTATTTGTGCCAAGTTTGCAAAATAGATTTCTCAAAGTGCAGAGGTCAATCTTATGACAACGCTGCCAACATGTCAGGGCGTTATCAAAGAATGCAGAAGTAGCTTTTAGAACAGAACAAATATGCCATATAGAAAGACGGAATACAATGTGTATTTCCAAATGTAGAGATCGCACTACATATTTTTCTAACATTGATGATTACTAACTGCTCTGCAGAACGCTCTTTTTCTCAGCTGACAAGAATAAAAATCCCTCAGAGAACAACAATGTGTCAGGACAGACTTGATTCACTTTCCCTATTGTGTATGGAAGCAGACATACTTCATCGAGTCAGCTTCGATAAACTTATCCAGAATTTTGCAATCAGAAAATCTAGAAAGAAGCTATTTTAATTTCAGCATACGTGTAAGTTTTATGTCATTTCGAAAATTAAAATTTTATTTTATGATATAGTATTGTTTTTATTTTGTATTAGATATGGGGGGGCACCATAATCTTTTCAGTGCTTAGGGCCTCTAAAGGTCTTAATCCGGCCCTGCCCAGAAGATACAGCTGGCAAAAAGAGCCAATATCAAGCACATGGGGTACATGCTCACCAAGAGTAGAATATATACGGACAGCACATCTTGAAGGATTCCAGTTATTGTAAGGTAATTTACTTAGGGATAATCCCTCCAGAATAGGGTTAAGCAAGTGGTGGAGCAGGGTAGGAAAGTTCCACAGTGCAGTAGCAACACAAAGACTTCATGCTCCTGCGCTCTGAATTTAGCAACTTTTAACTGATGTTAGTGTTTGTGGCCCAGGGACGAGTTGCTTAGGTCCATGATTCAATGTTAGCCCATCAGGTGCTTCTATGTGTGCACATGAGTGTATCATGACAGAGCCACATGAGAAAGGGTAGTGTTATTTTCCCATCCTTGAAGTCCTGAACGAAGAAGTCTCTTTTCCACTTCTCAATATTTTTGTCCCATGAGAGGATGGATCAGTCTGTCATTCTCGCAGTGTCCAGGAAGAGCACTCAATGGTCATACAAATAACATGACGTCTATGCAACCAGCCTCAGTGTTCAGTGCAAAAACTAAAATGCATACAAGGAGTCAGACACATTTGATTTGGGAAATGATTTCAGTTTAATATTTCTCTAGTGTGTGTATATAGGAAGCCAAGTAAAAATTAATTTAAAGTATATAACATCTAGGTTGACAGTGTCTGTTTTTTCAAAAACTACATATTTGGGGAACCTAAAGCACTTTGCATTCTCCCTTTATGGAGAAAAAAAATATTAATGAGCTTATCTCTCTTCACTAACTACTTTCAGTTCATGATGGTTAGGATGATAGTACTAGTAAAGGTAGTGACTGTTTATATTTTGTTTTAGCATTAAGATTCATGACCTGTCAGAACTGAAAGAAATGTATGCTATAATAAACCTGGATGATGAAAATAAAGGTATGATAAAGTTTCCAAAGCTGTAAAACAGAATTTTGTTTACATTAATATGTTTACAAGAGGGAATGTACAGAGAAGAATATTTATTGAAAAGCTGTCTAAATATAGACTGTTGTTAACTCCCTCCTTTCCAATGTGTATGTATTATGAGATGGTCTGTTTGCCAAACTGGGTATTTAACGTAGCTTTCGGGGTTTTTTTTTTTTTTTTTTACAAAACACATAGAGATCCTGTTTTTCAAAACAGTTGATTGTCCAGTATTTTTGAATCCATAGCATGGTATATTCAAATTACTAAAATAATAGTGTGTTTATTTTTTCCCGTTTTGCTTTTCTGAGTGGCATGTTCTTGTGCTAAGAGTATGTATATCTCTGGAGCAGGAGTCCCTGCCACTGTTACCTCCTATTTCAATATTGGATTCATTTATTGTGAATTTCGATAAAATTCACTCTGAAATTAAGACCAAATTAGCGGGTTATGGTCTATGATGATAAACTATTTCTGTTCCATTCTACATAGGTTTTTATACTTAAGTACAAAGGGTGTGAAAAAAATTAGGGCTGTCAAGCAATTAAAAAAACTAATCATGCAATTAATCACACTGTTAAGCAATAATAGAATACCATTTATTTAAATATTTTTGGATGTTTTCTAAATTTTCAAATATATTGATTTCAATTGCAACACAGAATACAAAGTGTACAATGCTCACTTTATATTTATTTTTGATTGCAAATATTTGCACTGTAAAAAACAAAAGAAATAGTATATTTCAATTCACCTAATACAAATACTGTAGTGCAGTCTTTTTATCGTGAAAGTTGAACTTACAAATGTAGAATTATGTACAAAAAATAACTGCATTCAAAAACAAAACAATGTAAAACTTTAGAACCTACAAGCCCACTCAGTCCTACTTCAGCCAATCGCTCAGACAAACAAGTTCGGTTACAATTTGCAGGAGATAATGCTGCCCACATCTTGTTTACAATGTCACCTGAAAGTGAGAACAGGCATTTGCATGGCATTGTTGTAACAAGCGTCACAAGATATTTACATGCCAGATGTGCTAAAGATTCAGCTGTCCCTTCATGTTTCAACTACCATTCCAGAAGACATGTGTCCATGCTGGTGACGAGTTCTGCTCGATAACGATCCAAAGCAGAGCAGACCGACACATGTTCATTTTCATCATCTGAGTCAGATGATACCAGCAGAAGGTTCATTTTCTTTCTTGGTCGTTCGGGTTCTGTAGTTTCTGCATCGGAATGTTGCTCCTTTAAAGCATCTGAAAGCATTCTCCACACCTCATCCCTCTTAGATTTTGGAAGGCACTTCAGATTCTTAATCCTTGGGTCAAGTGCTGTATCTATCCTTAGAAATCTCACATTGGTACCTTCTTTGCGTTTTGTCAAATCTGCTGTGAAAGTGTTGTTAAAATGAACATGTGCTGGGTCATCATCCAAGACTGCTACAACATGAAATACGTGGCAGAATGTGGGTAAAACAGAACAGGAGACATACAATTCTCCCCCCAAGGAGTTCAGTCACAAATTTAATTAACACGTTATTTTTTTAACGAGCATCATCTGCATGGAAGCGTGTCCTCTGGAATGGTGGCCAAAGCATGAAGGGGCATACGAATGGTTAGCATATCTGGCACATAAATACCTTGCAATGCCGGCTACAAAAGTGCCATACAAATCCCTGCTCTCACTTTCTGGTGACATTGTAAATGAGAAGAAGGAAGCATTATCTCCTATAAATGTAAACAAACTTGTTTGTCTTAGCGATTGGCTGAACAAGAAGTAGGACTGAGTGGACTTGTAGGCTCGGAAGTTTTACATTGATTTGTGTTTGGGTGCAGTGATGTAACAAAAAAAAATCTACATTTGTAAATTGCGCTTTCAGGACACAGTACTTTGTATGAGGTGAATTGAAAAATACTATTTCTTTTATCAGAGGGGTAGCCGTGTTAGTCTGGATCTGTAAAAAGCAACAGAGAGTCCTGTGGCACCTTTAAGACGTCTGACGAAGTGGGTATTCACCCACGAAAGCTTATGCTCCAATATATCTGTTAGTCTTAAAGGTGCCACAGGACTCTCTGTTGCTTTTTACTATTTCTTTTGTTTAATAAATTTCAATTCGTATTCTATTGTTTAATATGCAATTAAAACTGTGATTAATCGCGATTAATTTTTTTAATTGCGATTAATTTTTTTGAGTTAATTGCGTGAGTTAACTGCGATTAATTGACAACACTAGAAAAAATATTCTTAAGTAATGAAACCTTGACATGGTTGCATTTTAAAAACAATAGAATTGTTTGTGGATTTTACTGACAACCAAGTAGCTATTTTTGTTGTTCTTGTAAAAGCTTCTCAATATTTTAGGTCTAGATCACCTGGCTTGGACAGATGATGGGCAGTTGTTGGCAGTGTCTACACAAAGAGGCTCACTCCACGTCTTCTTGACAAAGCTTCCAATCCTTGGAGATGCTTGCGGCACACGGATTGCATACCTCACTTCTCTTCTTGAAGTTACTGTGGCCAATCATGTTGAAGCAGTATGCTAGCCTATTAATTTTTCACTTAATTTAGGTGTAACTTTTAAATAAGTAGTAACAATGAGAAAATTTGGTATGATTTTCTTATAGGAGCTACCAATCACAGTTTCTGTTGAAGTGGAGCCAAACTTTGTTGCTGTAGGTCTTTATCATTTGGCTGTAGGAATGAATAATCGTGCTTGGTTTTATGTACTTGGAGAGAATAGTAAGTATGACTGTAGTTCTCTTATTTTAAAGTATCTTATCATCCATTATCTGCTAAATATATGTCCATTTTATAAAACAGGTGTTTTGTTTAACTCTTCTAATAGCCTACGTAGTGCAAGGTGGTGTTGTTGTATAATCTCATGGGACACCAAAATTCAGGACTGCACATTGGATTCCCAGAATTTGGATTAGTACAAACAAGACATTATGGAGGCAATTAGAACAAAAATTCAGGATTCCCAGGGTTGGATGAAGCCTTTCATTCTTTGTCATCAGGTCAAACGCAGCTCATGCTGTTGTTGCCTGAAAGTCACTACCAACTGAAGGTTGTTTGGCTTATGTAAAATTAGTAGATGGTCTCAGTCCATATTGGCAGTCCTAGCAGAGAGGCCAAGGCTGCATAAACATGGAGACTAAACTATTCTCAAATTCCTGTAGGTGTTCCATCCAGAGTTTAGATGGATTGGTGGGGCAGAGTAGAAAAGCTTGTGCTATACCTGTTTTTTTTTTTAGGCAGCAGACTTAAGTCTCAGTACTTGTCAATTCAAAATCTTTTATGAATAAAAAGATCACTCTAAAGGGAAAAAAGTCCAGCATTAGTCATAGATGGTCTAACCGTAGGTTAGTGAGGTTTCGTTGGGGAAAGAGGGTCCCTTTTAACCCTTAGTAACATAAGGATGCAGCTGCTTTCTCATAGTCTCCCATGTTTCTGTCAAGAGTTCCTCCTACTTATCCATCTTTTACTCTCCTGCCCTCTTAGATTATTATGAATTACTCAGGTAGGTAAGAAGAACAGAAAATGGACCATGCATAATTTATCTTTTTTCCCCCCTCCCTTCCCCTTTAAATTCTGTAGGTGTAAAAAAGCTTAAAGACATGGAGTATCTGGGGACAGTAACCAGTATATATCTTAATTCTGACTATGCTGCTGCACTCTTTGAGGGTAAAGTCCAGTTGCATATGGTAAGTATACAGAAGATTTTGAACTCTGAAAGGCCAGCTGAATTGAGGTGGCAATAGACTGAGGAAGAAATTGAGTCCTAATGGTAGTAAGATTGGTCTGAGTGGAAGTTAGGTGCTGAGTGGGTGAGAAGATGTAACTAACGGAGGTAAGAGTTAAAAACCTTCCAAAAAATTATTTTAGTAGCAAACATGAGAACAACTGAGTTACCAGGTGGCTTGCAGAAATGTACATTCTGTCTTGAAGTGGCAGTGGATGAGAAGAAAGTGCTAGCTTATGAGGTGTTTAACAAGCTTTCTTTGGAAGTTCTGTATGGGGTCTTAGGGGAGCAGCTAGTGGTTTGTAAGTGGTACATATGAAAGGGCAAATCTGAGCTAGTTATAACAGCTAGGGTAATGCCTTAGTGTCTGCTTCATACAGACAAAATTCATTAATATCTTGCTGCTGGTGGTGGTGGTGGTGGTTTCAGTTTTGCTTATTCCTTATGCTTTAGATAGAAGGTGAAGGTTTGGATGCTCAGGAAGAACGAGAGACTCGACTTTTCCCAGCAGTGGATGATAAATGTCGAATCTTGTGCCATGCTCTTACTGGTGATTTCCTCATCTATGGTACAGATGTAAGTATATTGCTTGTCTCAAATTCTTCTTAGATTCAATAAGTTTCTGTTTTTGATTACTTGGACTATTTCTCTTCATACAATAGGCATAAAGTGTATGGTTCTGATATGCAGTGTACCAAGGCTTACTTTATATGCAAGCTATATTTTAGGCAAACAGAAACAAAATTTCAGCCAGCTTCCTTAATTATTTAGGCCTGCGTGTGATGCAGTTGCAGTTACACTGGCACATTACAATGGTTCAGTTGGTTTTGGTTGATGCTCAGCTTCGTAACTGAAGGCCAAGTCCTGCTTTTATTGAAGTCATTGGCAAAACTGATATTGAATTTAATATTATTTATTTGTATTACAGTGGTGCCCAGGGGCATCTATCAAGGATTAGGTCCCCATTGTGCTAGGAACCTTACAGACCTGAAGGAAAAAGATAACCTAGATTATGAGGGACTATTATGTGACAACTGCATAGGAGTAGCATGCACCACATGCCATCCCCTTTACAAATATAAAGGCACAGATCCTGCCTCCAACAGCTCACAGTCTAAAAAGACATACAAACTGGAGGGATTAAAGGGTGCCCTCTGGGGCACCTGGGACTGGCCACTGTCAGAAGACAGGATACTGGGCTAGATGGACCTTTGGTCTGACCCAGTAGGGCCGTTCTTATGTTCCCAAAGTAATGATTAGCCACATCCTAACCTATAAAATGATTTTTAGTTTGTTTGGCTTTGTTTGTAAATTGTCTGTATATCTAGAGTTGCCCCTCAACCTTGTACTATTGATGAGAGAGTTTCTTGTAGACATTGCTTCAGAAGTGCGTCTTCACAAGGTGTTACCCCCAAAAATCAGACTCAGGACTCTCCACAATGGCTTGCCTATATCAGTAAATCAATCATCAATTTGTCTGGTTTTAGTAGTGAAAGGAGGTGACCCGCCCTAGAGGAATTGCCAGGGTTTTACCAGAGGTTTTTCCCTCTGAGCTTTGGAAAACTCCCCAGAACAGACTAACTCTGTTGACCTTTGAGAGTACACCGATACAGCCTTCTACTCCAAGGATTGACACTCAGGCAGTAAGCTTTGAAAATGAAAATATTCTTTATTTAATGTATCAATGTTCTCTGATAACAATAAATCTTAAAAGCATATATCAAGAAACAAACACAAATTCTATTAGCAAAAGTATGCACATCAAAGTACCCAATACCGTAGAACACCTCTACCCCGATATAACTCTGTCCTTGGGAGCCAAAAAATCTTACCACGTTATAGGTGAAACTGCGTTATATCGAACTTGCTTTGATCCGCCGGAGTGCGCAGCCCTGCCCCCCCCGGAGCACTGCTTTACCACGTTATATCCGAATTCATGTTATATTAGGTTGCGTTATATGGGGGTAGAGGTGTACCATGCAACTAGAAATATATTTAAATGGTTACATTCTACTTGCAGTGATCAGTCACATGTAGGATGCTGACAGCATATTCTTACTTAAATATTAAAACTGTATACATAGTAACAAACATATATACACAAACATCCAACTTTAGTATCTCAGGCATACAGACTCATATATCCTATTTTCTCCTTATACCATGGTCGTCATGCTTACTTCTCTGCAGTCTTTTTTCCCTCAGATCTGTCAAATGGTCCTTCTGTTCTGTCACAGCTACTTCTTAGCTGCTGCTGCTGTCATTGGTTCTCTGCTACTGCCTCTGTAACCCACACACCTCCTGGGTGTGGTGTTTTGTCCCATCTAGTGGCACCGAGGCCACTTAGAGAGAGAGAGAGAGAGATAAAATGAGTCTGTTCTACAGCCTTAGCTAGCAGCCAGATGGCTTTTAGCTCATGCAGTAGAGGCTCATGCACTAAGCTCCAGAGGTCCCATGTTCAATCCCACCTCCTGATGACTAGGGTCTGTTGACATTACACCTCTGTGTGATTGCTTGGTCTGCCACAACAAACCCCTAGCCCTATTCGTCCCTTTTTTAGTGATTTCAGCTCTCTTCCTGCTTCTTCTGGCTTTTCCTGCTGACAAACTCTCTTCCTTCTGCTCTCGCACTCCAACAGTCTCTGAGAATGACAAACACACACACTCAAGCTTCTCAGTTTCTGCCTTATACACGCTTCTTGGCCTATTCTGATTGGTTACTTCCTCAGTCCTTCTCATTAGCATACCTTTCCTCCAGTCATCTTTAAGCCTACTCTGATTGGTCCATTCTTATAAACCAATCACAGCTGCTAAGTTCATCTGTCAATTAATGCTGGACCTGGTTGAAATCCTGTGCCATGCTCAACTGACCCCTCCCTTCTAGTTTTGGAGTGATCTTTATCTCACCTCAGACTGCCTGTTTGCTATAGGCCAAATTACTCCAAGACCACCCTTTTAGTTTCTCTGGCTGTGATTACCTGTGACCACCATCTTGTTATCCCTGGCTGTAACCTCTTAAAACTGTCTTTCTTAGTTATTAAACCCATAAAACGATAAACAGTTATACATTTATATGCATCTTAACATTAGGATTCACTGTCAAGACTCCAATTTTTACTAATTTAAATAAGTTTAATTTCGATTCTTCAGCTAGTGATGGCAGGGCAATGTTCTTAATGCCTTATTCCTTACACAGAATAGAGCAGCTGAAAAATCTCTTGTATCAGAGGGATTTGAATGAAGAGAGGTTGGTGGCTTTGAGGATAAGCTCATGAAATACATTTCATATGTTGGGAGTGATGTGAAATGGAGTTCTGAGAAAGTTGTTTGTTAGTGGACATACAGTGTGTCAAGGCTGACATCATTGGTGGAGTGTAAGGAACGGAAGAAGCACCTTGGAAAATGAATGAAGTGGTGATAAACAGCCACACATCATTATCTGGGCTGGCATCAGGTATATGAAAACCAAAGGATGTGTTGGCACAACCCACAACTTCCTCACAATTTTTAATGTAAGTTTTTTGAACAGAAGCTAAACTAGAATAACCAAGATGATCAGGCAGAGAGATGAGAGAAATTACAAGTAGTAGAAAGAAAAATTGTCTGGCACTTATATGAATTGTTTTCTTTAGAAGATCATGCACAGTTGTTAGTACATTTTAAAACTGTCAGAAGAGCTTCTGTTCCTTTATTTTATAGTAGTGATATTATTTCCACTGTAAACAACAAAGTAAAGTAAATAATTTTCTTGTTCATTTTATCAAAGAAAAAGTTTTGAAAATGTACAACCTTTTGGCCAGTTAATGGTTCAGTAGCACATTCTGTTGCCCTGTAAAAGACCTTTGAGTGAGATGTTAGAGCTTCAATATCCCATGGGCTCAAACCTTTGAAGTGATGATCACTTCCTGTGGGGTTTTGAATCCGTTCCACTGCTACTGATTTCAATGGAAGTTCAGGGCACAAAGTACTTCAAAGGATTGAGCCCTTAATTACTCTACATAAGATGATATGCTGGGTTTCCAAAGGAAAGGTAGTGTTTCAGTCTCCAACACCATTATTGGCTTAGTAACATAGTTAAAAGTTCATTAGTGATTTTTGCAATTAATTATTGGGCTTTTTGGTTATTTCATTTTTTAAAATTATTTTTTAAGATGTTACTGATTTAATATAAGATACTAAATTCACAGCTGAACAATCGGGTGTGTAAGAGTTTTACAATTGGCTATTTTATATGATTTTTAAAATATCTTCTGTACATATAAGAGGAAAATGAAAAGAATCCCTAAAAGATTTCTCCATATTAAAATATAGCATTAATTAAATAACTAATTAATTCACTTTTTTGTCTAAGGTAGGTGCACAGGTTCTAAGAGCGTCACACTTGCTATTTGGAGACAGAGACAAATTTGATAGTTCTGGATACTACATGCTAGGCCCTTTTCTCTAGAGCAGCATTTCTCAAACTGTGGGTCGGGACCCCAGAGTGGGTCAGGACCCGTTTTAAAGGGGTCACGTGGGCTGGTGTTAGACTTGCTGGGGCTGAAGGCAAAATCTGAGCCCCACCCACCAGGGCTGAAGCCCTCAAGCTTTGGCACCCACCAGGGCTGAAGCCCTCAAGCTTTGGCACCCGCCAGGATAGCAGGACTTGGGCTTTGGCCCCCTAGCCTGGGGTGGTGGGGCTCAGGCTTTGATCCCCCTTCTTAGGATTGTGTAATAATTGTTGTCGTCAGAAGGGGGTCACGGTGCAATGAAGTTTGAGAAACCCTGCTCTAGAGAGCCATCGAATTCTCCCTGCTTCCAGAACTGTGTACAATGTGGCAGACCTTCATCTGCAGACCACAGGCATAGGGAAATCTCTCATTTTTTGGCCAAAACTTTTTCTAAACCCATATTCCACTTCTAGATGGTTTTTAATCAATTCGGCTCAGAATTCTAAATATTTGGGAGGGGGTAAATTTCTTTGAGTTGATTTTGCAGCTTTCCCTTGCTACAGGGCTGCATTGTGTGGGGGGAAATGCTCAGCCACGAGACCAGAGATAGTGTTTTTTCTGCTCTTCTGTTCTACCAGAATATATTGAAGAGTACTTTTGCCTCTTTGGCAACCAGGGGAACACATTCACACAAGAATCAAGGTTGCCTCAAAAAACACCCTAGATTCTCCTGCCATCTCCCCCAGAGCAGCTGCCAATGGGAAAAGAAGGCCAAAGAGACTGAAAATGCTCTTCCTTAAATACTCCTCACACTTAGCACTCGAACATAGGACAAACCAAAATGGAGTAACATTGGAGTGACTCCATCAAAAAGAATTACCTCAACATTGTTTACATTATAGTTACTTGTGTAGTACCAGTATGCTGATTGTTCTATTATTTATTATTAGACAGGTGTTATTCACTATTTCTACATTGAAGACTGGCAATACGTGAATGAATATCGGCATCCTGTCAGTGTGAGAAAAATCTATCCAGACCCCAATGGAACCAGATTGGTTTTCATTGATGACAAAAGTGATGGCTTTGTGTATTGCCCAGTAAGTCAATTCAGGACATTCATTCCACTTTACTTACAAGCAGAGTTCTCTGTAAGTTATTTCTACTGTATGGTGTGTTTTGTGTATGGTGCCAGTTGGACTGATTTGGCACCCAAAAAAAAAAAAAAAAGTGAGGTAGCAGAGGGAATAGCCTACTGATAATATAGGGACATAGAACCGCCACACCAGATCAGACCAAGCTTGCCCGTGGGCAAAATTTCTTCTTAACCTCAGACTGTTGGTTTACGTACTGTTTATATCTGTTTATAATTACTTTATCTTTTCTAATGTTACTGTGTATTTTCTGATTATCCGTATTCATGTCTCATATTTTAAGCCTGTTATGCTCTTGGACTCAACACCTTTAGCAGAGAATTCCACAGGCAAATGTGTGTTGTGATTTAAAAATTTGTATTAGTTATAAATGTATTTCACTGTGTCCCCTAGTTCTTGTATTATAAGAAAGGCAAATAGGAGAACCCAATTTACTTCTTAGTAACATTCATTATTTTTGTTATTCATCTCCTCTCTAAACTAAATAATTCTACTATTCCCAGTTTCAACACATATGAAAGTCTTTTCATGTCCTCAATAATTTTCATCGCCCATTTCTGGAGCACTTATTCCTTTTACATCTTTTTTTGAGATGGATGACCAGAACTGATCACACTATTCAATATATCTCATTGGCTTTCTGCTTACTAAATAATTTTACATTACTTTTTTTTTTTGTAGGTAAATGATGGTGTGCATGAGATCCCAAATTTTCCACCAACCATTAAAGGCATTCTGTGGGAAAATTGGCCAATAGATAAAGGTGTATTTGCTGCTTACGATGATGATAAAGTATATACTTACGTCTTCCATAAGGATACCATACAAGGTACTGTAAATACTTGAGTTAATCTTATTAGCTATCTGACATTTCATGGCAATTAAAGTTAGAACATGTTACACAATAATATTAAATATTGCCTTTTAATTTGTATTTTCATGTGAATTTGCTGCATGTGAATAATAGTACTGCTACTGGCAAGTATTGCCAGACACAGAGCAGGCAGATACTGTGCAAGTTTCTCCACACAGCTCCCACAAGGCATTTCAATCCTAACCTGCAGATTTCCTACTACTCTAGTCCATGGCCTTTAGCCTGCCAGCTGTGTTGAATATTTGTGAGAAATGTCTGCTGGGAACAGGATCACAAAACTCATGTTCAGTTTTAACCAGAATTTTAATCTAGGTCATCTAGTGCCGTGGTTCTCAACCAAGGGTACGTGTACTCCTGGGGGTACTCGGAGATCTTCCAGGGGTACATCAGCTCATCTAGATATTTGCCTAGTTTTACAACTGGCTACATTAAAAGCACTAGTGACGCCAGTACAAACTAAAATGTCATAAAATGACTTGTTTATACTGCTCTGCAATACACTGAAATGTAAGTACAATATTTATATTCCAATTGATGTATTTTATCATTATATGGTAAAAATGAGAAAGTAAGCAATTTTTCAGTAATAGTGTGCTGGAGAATTTAAAAGTAGTGTCTGTTAGTCCGTGCATGTGCCCTGACTCACCACCTGGTTTCATCTAAGGTGATAAAGAGTGGGGCAGACCAACCACGTCTCCAGTTCCTTCTCATTGCAACATGGTCTGGGTCGGAACTATTAGTGTCTTCCTGCATGTGACCCACTTTCAAAAGAACAAAGTTGTATATAGTTAGTTTTTTTACTGATTTTTCACTCTCTTTTTTTCTTTCTGTTTTTAGATAGATAGTTTGTGGGTTTGTTTTTTGGTAAACTTCCCCACCCCCACCCATATCCATACATGGGTTCTGCACTATGCTGAAGATCCCAGGCTTTAAAATCTGCGCCTTCTGCCTTGCATTCCTTCTCGGTCAGCGATGAACATCAACCCTGCCTCTACTGCTTGGGAGAAGGCCACATCATAGAATTGTAGGACTGGAAACGACCTCTTGAGGTCATCTAGTCCAGTCCCCTGTACTCATGGCAGGACTAAGTATTATCTAGACCATCCCTGACAGGTGTTTGTATAACCTGCTCTTAAAAATCTCCAGTGATGGAGATTCCACAGCCTCCTTGGGCAATTTATTCCAGTGCTTAACTACTCTGACAGTTAGGAAGTTTTTCCTAATGTACAACCTAAACCGCCCTTACTGCAGTTTAAGCCTATTGCTTCTTGTCCTGTCCTCCGAGGTTAAGGAGAACAATTTTTCTCCCTCCTCCTTTTAACAATCTTTTATGTACTTGAAAACTGTTATCATGTCCCTTCTCAGTCTTCCCTTCTACAGACTAAACAACCCAATTTTTTTCAATCTTCCCTCATACATCATGTTTTCTAGACCTTTAATCATTTTTGTTGCTCTTCTGTGGACTTTCTCCAATTTGTTCACATCTTTCCTGAAATGTGATGCCCAAAACTGGACACAGTACTCCAGTTGAGACCTAATCAGTGCTGAGTAGAGTGGAAGAATTACTTTTTGTCTTCCTTACCACACTCCGGCTAATACACCTCAGAATGATGTTTGCTTTTTTTGCAACAGTGTGATGTTGTTGACTAATATTTAGCTTGTGATCCCACTATGACCCCCAGATTACTTTCTGCAATACTCCTTCCTAGGCAGTCATTTCCCATTTTATGTGAGTGCAACTGATTGTTCCTTCATAAGTGGAATACTTTTCATTTGTCCTTATTGAATTTCATCTTATTTACTTGAGACCATTTCTCCAGTTTGTCCAGTTCATTTTTAATTTTAATCCTATCCTCCAAAGCACTTGCAAACTCTCCCAGCTTGGTATCATCCGCAAATTTTATAAGTATACTCTCTATGCCATTATCTAAATCATTGATGAAGATACTGAACAGAACCAGACCCAGAACTGATCCCCGTGGGACCCCACTCATTATGCCCTTCCAGCTTGACACTGAACCACTGATTACTCTCTATGTACGATTTTCCAACCAGTTATGCACCCACCTTATAATAGCTTCATCTAGGTAGTATTTCCCGAGTTTTTTTATGAGAAGGTCATGTGAGATGGTATCAAAAGCCTTACTAAAGTCAAGAAATACCACTTCCCCTATATCCGCAAGGCTTATTACCCTGTCATAGAAAGCTATTAGGTTGGTTTGACACAGTTTGTTCTTGACAAATTCATGCTGATGGTTACTTATCACCTTATTATCTTCTAGGTGTTTGCAAATTAATTGCTTAATTATTTGCTCCATTATCTTTCCAGGTACAGAAGTTAAGCTGACTGGTCTGTAATTCCCCAGGTTGTCGTTATTTCTCTGTTTATAGATTGGCACTATATTTGCCCTTTTTCCAGTCCTCTGGAATCTCTACCATCTTTCATGACTTTTAGAAGATAATTGCTAATGTCTCAGATATCTGCTTAGTCAGCTCCTTGAGTATTCTAGGATGTATTTCATCAGGCCCTGGTGACTTGAAGACCTCTAACTTGTCTAACTAATTTTTAACTTGTTCTTTCCCTATCTTAACCTCTGATCCTACCTCATTTTCACTGGCATTCACTATGTTAGATGTCTAGTTGCTACTAAATTTCTTTGGTGAAAACTGAAACAAAAAAGTCATTTAGCATGTCTGCCATTTCCACATTTTCTGTTATTGTTTTTCCTCCCTCATTGAGAAAATGGGTCTACCTTGATCTTGTTCTTTCTCTTGCTACTAATGTATTTGTAGAATGTTTTTTGTTACCCTTTATGTCTCTAGCTAGTTTAATCTAATTTTATGCCTTGGACTTTCTAATTTTGTCCCTGTTATTTGTTTATATTCATGCTTTGTACTTTGACATAGTTTCCACTTTTTTTTTCTTTTCTTTTTTTTGAGTTTCAGATCATTGAAGATTTCCTGGTTAAGACAGGGTTGTCTCTCGCCATACTTCCTGTCTTTCCTACGCAATGGGATAGTTTGAGCTTGTGCCCGTAATAACGTCTCTTTAAAAAACTGACAACTCTGTTGAACTGTTTTTCCCCTTAGACTTGCTTCCCCTGGGATCTTACCTGCCACTCCCTGAGTTTACTAATGTTTGCTTCTTGAAATCCATTATCTTTATTGTGCTGTTTTCCCTCCTACCATTCCTTAGAATCATGAACTCTAACATTTCATGATCACTTTCACCTAAGTGGCCTTCCACTTTCAAATTCTCAACCAGTTCCTCCCTATTTGTCAAAATCAAATCTAGAACAACCTCTCCCCTAGTAGTTTTCTCCACCTTCTGAAATAAAAAATTGCCTCCAATACATTCCAAGAACTTGTTGGATAATCTGTGCCCTGCCATATTATTTTTCCCAACAAATGTCTGGGTAGTTAAAGTCCCCAGTGCTTTGGATGATTTTATTAGTTGCTTAAAAAAAGCCTCATCCACGTCGTCTTCTTGATAACATGGTCTGTAGTAGACTCCTACCATGACATCACCCTTGTTTTTTACCCCTTTTATCCTTATCCAGAGACTTTCAACAAGTCCGTCTCCTATTTCCATTTCAACCTCAGTCCAAGTGTATACATTTTTAATATATAAGGCAACACTACCTCCCTTTTTTCCCTGCCTGTTCTTTCTAAGCAAGCTGTACCCTTCTATACCAATATTCCAGTCATGCGTATTATCCTATCAGATCTCTGTGATGCTAACTATGTCATAGTTGTGTTTAACAACTAGCATTTCAAGTTCTTCCTGCTTATACCCCATTCTACTTGCTTTAGTATACACATGTAAGATGCTGATTTGGTTTCCACCCATGTTCTCTCTTGTCTCTCCCTTGTCCCTGCTATAACAGCCCATGCTCCCCCAGATTCCAAACCATCTCCCAGGTATCCATGTGTTTGACATCAAAGTTGTAATTAGTTGTTTTTTATGGGTCCCTATTATTCTGTCAGAAGCAATTTATTTTGCCTACTTCCCCTTTTCCTCCTAGACAGAGTGCCCAAAAGCACTTCCCCTACAGTTTTTATAGGAACATGTTAGCTGCTGGTCAAAGTCTTAGTGACTTTTCATTTCTTATTGGCTTAGAAATCACAAATTAAAGGCCCAGAGACTGTTAGCCTGGCAGAGTACAGGATATGGGCCACGGTCTCTAGGACACGTGGAGGGTGGGGAGGGAGAAGACTGAGCTTTCAGTATTTTTCTAGTAAGTAAAGTTTTTTTTTTTATTTTATTTTTTTTCCTTTTGATACTCCTTATGGATGTGCAAATGTACATTCTGTAGTATCTACCTTACTGAGTTGGGGTGTTTGTGACTGTGCTAAATATGTTAATAAACTGTGTGGATTTACCACAGCTCCTAGAGTTTTCACCAAGGTTTTCTCCATTGTAGCAACCCAAATCAGGAGTTATGGGGTCCTCATATTCCCATATCTCAATGACTGGCTTCTGGCAGCACGGTCCAGACATGAAGCCCAGGTTTTAACCTCCATGTTGCTCATCCTCCTTTGTTCTCTTTGGGTCAATATCAATGCCCAAAATCAACCTTAAACCCAGTGCAATGCCTAGACTTTTTAGGGCCACTATCAACTCAGTCTCTGCATAAGCCTACCTACCAAGAACTCATAACTCATGTAGTGAACAGTCCTTCAGTCACAGCCAGGACTTTCCTATCCTTCCTGGGACACATGGCCTCATGCACATAAATCTGCATCTTCGCTGCCTCCAGATGTGGCTCCAGTTGGTTTACTCACCCAACCATCATGCCATGGACCGCGTGCTCACAGTCCTCCCCCCCACACGCACGCATGGTAATCTCATTCCTCCACTGGTAGAGGGAACACTTAGGGGTTCCCTTCCCACCCTCACTTCCTGCACAAGACAGTTATCACTGATACATCCCTTGTAGGCTGGGGAGCGCACATGGGTGAACAAATGACACAGGAAACATGGACTCTTTGGGAGTCCAGAATGCACATCAACATTCTGGAGCTCTGAGCTGTAAGGATGGCATGTCAGGCCTTTCTCCTGCTCATCCGTTCCCATCAAATTCTCATAATGTCGGACAACACCATGACTCTTTGCAACAAACGGGGGCACAAGGTCGATGACTCTCTGCTCCGAAGCAGTCACCCTTTGGAACTGGTGCATCGCCCACCAGATCATGTTATCTGCAGCCTATCTCCCAGGGACACACAATGTGATTGCAGACTTTTCTCAGCACACAGTTCATGATTGACCACGAGTGGGAACTCCATGACACCATGGTACAGGACATCTTTGACAAGTGGGGAACTCTGACCGGAGACCTCTTCACATCCCCAGTGAATAGAGAATGAAGCACATATTGCTCCAGAGGAGGTCTGAGGCTCTCAGAGCGATGCTCTCATCATCTCCTTGTCGGACCAACTCAATTACGCCTTCCCTCCTCTCTAACTCCTACCATGAGTACTACACAAGTTCAGACAAGACAGAGCGACAGTGATCCTGATCATCCCTTCCTGGCCCAGACAGTTTTGTTTTCCCAACCTCCTCCTTATGTCTACCTGTCCCCCAAATCCCATCCCTGCTTTCCCCGATCTCCTGACGCAGCACAACGGCGGCATCAGCCATCCCAATCCACGTGCATTTCACCTCAGAGCAGGGTATTTGGATGGGCATATTCTCTAGAAGGGGTGTGTTCAGTGATGAGCTCCCAAAATCCTAAGAACCAGTTCCCTACCGGATCCTCAGCGGCACTTCGGCTGCGGGGGGGGGGAGGGGGATCTTCACTCACTCTGGGTTTTCAGCGGCATTTCGGCAGCAGGTCCTTCACCCGGAGCGAGTGAAGGACCCGCCGCCGAAGTGCCACCAGGGAACCGCGCAGTGAGTACAGTACAAGCCCCACGTGCCTGTCTCCCCCCAACCCATGTCCTGCCCCCGACTGCCCCCTTTAGAACCCGCAAGTTTCTCCTCCCTTACCGGGGTAGCAGCAGCAGCCCGGGGCTCCAGAAGTTATTTAAAGGGCCGGGGCTCCCCTGCTTCTACTGCCCTGGCCCTTTAAATAGCTGCCGGAGCCCTGGGGAAGCAGTGGGGCTCCAGCAGCTATTTAAAGGACCGGGGCACAGAGGCAGCTAGAGTCAAGGGCCCTGTAAATAGCCCCTGGAGCCCCCTGCTACACCAGGCCTCTGGGGGCTATTTAAAGGGCCCGCGGCTCCCCTGCTTCTACCGCCCCGGTCCTTTAAATAGCTGCCGGAGCCCTGGAGTAGTAGCGGGGCTTTGTCAGCTATTTAAAGGGCCGGGGCGGTAGAAGCAGCGGAAGCCCCGGACTTTTTAAATAGCCCCCAGAGCCCTGCAGCTGCTACCCAAGGGCTCTGGTGGCAATTTAAAGGGCCTGGGGCTCCAGCCCCTGCTGGGAGCCCCAGGCCCTTTAAATTGCCCCCTGGGGAAGCCGAGCCACCCTGGTACGGCGTACCAGCTTACTTTCACCTCTGCCCCACCCAACTCGCCCCGCTCCCTGTCCCCTGACTGCCCCGACCCCATCCACCACCACCTCGACAGACCCCCGGAACTCCCACGCCTACCCAACCCCCCCGTTCTCCATCCCCTGACCGCCCCACCAGAATCTCCGCCCCCTCCAACCGCTCCCTGCTCCTTATCCTACCCCTCCTCCCAGCCCCGGCCCCCTTACCATGCTGCTGTGTATGGATGCTGCGCTGCCGCTGGAGCTCGCAGCCCCACCCCCTTACCATGCCGCTCAAAGCGGCAGGAGCTACAGAGCTGCTCAGGAGCGGTCCAGAGTGCTGGCGGCGCGCTGGGGCTCTGCGGGGGAGAGGCCGGGGAAGTCTCCCCAGCTGGGAGCTCAGGCGGACCGGGCAGGACGGTCCCGTGGGCCGGAGTTTGCCCACCCACCCGCCCCTTTAGCAACCGGTTCTACACTGGCTTCTAAATTTAACAACCGGTTCTTGCGAACCGGTGCGAACCGGCTCCAGCTCACCACTGGGTGTGTTCATAAGACGTGCAAAACATCCTCTCCAGCAGCAGGAAGGAATCCCCTAGGAGTTGTTGCTGAGCCAAGTGGAAATGCTTTGCCTCCTGGGCAGAGTGCAAGGGATTACCCACCTCCAGAACTACCTACTATCCTTGAAGTCATCAGGGCTCGCCCTCACTCTCTTAAGGTCCACCTAGCAGCAATTAGCGCCTTTCACCCCCCTGTGGAAGAACACTCTGTCTTTACCCACCATTGACTGCTAGGTTTTGGAAAGGTCTCATCAGAACCTTCCCACCTGTACAACCCATCACTCCCCAGTGGGACCTCAACCTGGTTTTATCCATACTAACGAAACCGCCCTTTGAACTGCTGGCATCATGTTCTGTGTCCCTCTCCATGAAGGTCGCCTTCCTCATTGCTGTCACTTCAGCAAGAAGGGTCAGTGAGCTTGGGGCCATGATGGCGAACCTTCCTTTCATGATTTTCTATAAAGATAAAGTCTCCTTACATCTGCATCCCAAAATTTTGCCAATGGGTCATTTCCCAGTTTCACGTTAATCAATCCATTCACTTACCTGCTTTCTTCCTGAAACCACATAACTCTGAAGAGGAACTGCAACTCCACTCCCTTGATGTCCATTGGACCTTGGCCTTCTACCTACAGAGGCCAAGACCAATCAGGAAACCCCCCAGATTGATTGTTGCAATAGCTGAAACAGTTAAGAGGCAGGCAATCTCTACACAGCTAATTTCTAAGTGGATTTCGGGATGCATTACACTATGATATCAATTATCTGTCCTCCCACTACTCTCAGGGGTGTAGGCCATTCTATGAGAGCCCAGGCTTCAACCATGGCCTGCCTCCACCATGTGCTGCTTTCGGATATATGTAGAGCAGCCACATGGAATTCAGTACACATCTTTGCTGCACATTACGCCTTGGTGAAGGACTCAGTGACGGATGCCTCCCTCGGGGCGTGGCTGTCATCTGCTTATCTCTTCCATCTGCATCTTCGCACCCTCCTCTGACTTAGGTACCACTTGTTAGTCACCCTCAATGGAATACAATAGGGCCTATCACTCGAAGAAGAAGAAGAGGAGTTTACTGACCTGTAACTGGAGGTTCTTTGAAATGCGTGGCCCCTATCTCTATTCCACTTCCCACCCTCCTTGCCTTCTGCTGCAGATCTGCTGGATTTGCAGTGGAAAAGGAACTGGAGTTGCCTGTCCCGCCCTTTATCTCTTCAGAAAAAAACATGAGACGAGTCAGGGCGCATGTGCGGACCGATGGACACTACTTTCTAATTCTCCACTCCAGACCCATGGTGTGCATGTGTAAACCGTCAGTGGAATACAGATAGGGATCACACATCTCAAAGAACCTCCAGTAACAGGTAACCTCCTCTTTTCTGTCTTACTATCTATCCCTTTCCTAATGATTCCTAATATTCGGTTAGCTTTTTTGACTGCCACTGCACATTGAGTGGCTGTTTTCAGAGAACTATCCACAATGACACCAAGATCTCTTTCTTGAATGGTAACAGCTAATTTAGACCCCAACATTTTGTATGTAGAATTGAGTGTTTTGCAATATGCATTACTTCACGCTTATCAACATTGAATTTCATTTGCTGTTTTGTTGCCCAGTCACCCAGATTAATTAGATCCCTTTTTAACTCTTCGCAGTCAGCTTTGGAGTTAACTGTGCTGAGAAATTTGGTATTGTCTGCAAAGTGTGCCACATCACTGTTTACCCCTTTTTCCAGATCATTTATGAATATGTTGAACAGCACAGGTCCCCATACAGATCTTTCAGGTACCCCACTATTTACCCCCTCCACTGTGAAAATAGACCATTCCTACATTTTGTTTCCTGTATCTAACCAGTTACTGATTCATGAGAGAACCGTACCTCTTATCCCATTATAGTTTATTTTGCTTAAGAGCCTTTAGGAGCTTAAGTTTAAGCTTAAGAGCTTGAGGTTTGAGACCTAGATAAAGGCTTTCTGAAAGTCCAAGTATACTATATCGACTGGATCACCCTTGTCAACACACTTGTTGACACCCTCAAAGAATTCTAATAGATTGGTGAGGCATGATTTTCCTTTACAAAAGCTATGATGATTCTTCCCCAACATATTGTGTTAATCTATGTATCTGATAATTCTGTTCTTTACTATAGTTTCAACCAATTTGCCTGATGCTGAAGTTAGGCTTACCAGCCTGTAATTGCTAGGAGCCTTTTTTGAAAATTTGCATTGTATTAGCTATCCTCCAGTCATCTGTTACAGAGACTAATTTAAGCGATAGGTTACATACCATAGTTAGTAGTTCTGCAATTTCATATTTTTGAGTTCCTTCATAACGTTTGGGTGAATACTGTCTGGTCCTAGTGACGTATTACTGTTTAATTTATCAATTTGTTTCAAAACCACCTCTATTGACATTTCAGTCTGGGACAGTTCCTCAGACTTGTCACTTAACAAGAATGGCTCAGGTGTGGGAATCTCCCTCACATCCTCTGCAGTGAAGACCAATGCAATGAATTCATATAGGTTCTCTGCAGCGGACTTGTCTTTCTTGAATGGTCCTTTAGCACCTCTGTCATCCACTGGATCGTTTGGCAGGCTTCCTGCTTCTGAAGTACTTTAAAAAAAATTGCTCTTTTTGTGTCTTTTGCTAGTTGTTCTTCAAATTCTTTTTTGGTATATACTTTGACACTTGGTACATACAGTAGATGATGAATGTCAAACAGGAGACCTTTAATTAGACTGGTCCAAGTGTAGTGCTGCTGCTATGCCAAAGGATAAAAGAACAAAGCTGTTGGCATTTTTAGAATAAGATTCCTTCACTCTTACATTTCTTAACTGTTCACAACTGCAACTGGTTGCTAAACATGTCATAATGTAGGAGCATTTTAAATAACTTTTTTTTTTCTGATCTCCTAATACAGGGTCCAAAGTTATTTTGGCAGGTGGCACCAAGGTTCCCTTTTCCCACAAACCATTGCTTTTGTATAATGGAGAATTAACCTGTCAGACTCAGAGTGGGAAAACAAACAATGTCTATCTTAGTACTCATAGTTTCCTTGGCATTTTGAAAGACACCGGATTTAATGAGCTGAAACAAATACTTACTCAGACTTTAATGCTGAAAAGGTAGGTCTGCCTTTTAATTACACCTCTACCCCCAATATATAACTCGACCCGATATAACGCTAATTCGGATATAAAGTTGTAAAGCAGTGCTCCGGGGGGCGCGGGGCTGCGCTGCACACTCCGATGGATCAAAGCAAGTTCAATATAATGCGGTTTCACCTATAACGCAGTAAGATTTTTTGGCTCCCGAGGACAGTGTTATATCGAGGTAGAGGTGTATATTGGGTTAATCATTTCCTTCTGTGATTGAAGCACACAGTACAGCATACATTGGTGTTCAAAAAATCTCTTGCTGAATATCGATAAAATTATATTGAACCATCATTCCGTATAAGTGCTTAGTCTGTCTGGGTAGCCAAGTAACAAATGACCCAATGATGCTTTTTCTCACTGTAAAGTAAGAGCTACAGTAATTTATTCAAGAGTATTCTGGGCTGCATGGTAGCTTCTGCCTCAAAACTCGCTGAAAGTGCATGCCACCCACTCCTTCCATTCTAAGGGAGCAAAAAACAGTACAATGGGAGGGTGTAGTGCAAGGTGAGAAGTAAGCCAGGGAAAGAAAGTATGTTTTTGAAGGAGAAAGGTGGGGCAATTTGGTGTAAACTGCAAGCCGGTGTATTCATGTGGCCCTGCTTTTTCCTGTCAGAGGGCTCCTAGCAATTTCCCCAAAACCTAGAAATTAGTCAGTCCCCAGTTTCCCTCTGCTTTGAGGTTAACTAGTTTTTGAGGTTTAAGAGAAAATGTTCTAAGAAAATACACATTGAATGCAACTGTTTGTTTTAGTTTTGTTTTTCACCCTGCATAGGTTTTCTGAAGCATGGGAGGTATGCAAACTTCTGAATGATCAATCTGGTTGGAATGAGCTGGCCAGAGCTTGCCTACATCACATGGAATTGGAGTTTGCAATACGTGTTTATCGGACAGTTGGAAATGTTGGGATGGTGATGTCACTAGAACAAATAAAGGTAACATTTAAAAGTAATTACCAAGCATTTTTGTAAAAAGATTAAGATTTAAATGCACTTTTAAGATTGCTGGAATTCTGGTGTTGTGTGTTTATATTGAAGAAGAATTATTTTAGAGGTGTCAGTATCTTAGAGGGAGAGGAAGAGTATGTATTGAGAAACCAGAGCCATCTCTAAACAGCTTGCATATTCTGAAATGTGTTAGTTACTGGAATCCCTCCTTAATTAGTTGATTTGCATTCAGCACTGTAGTACTGCATGTACTGTACATATACTATGGTATGTAACCTATCATTTAAATCAGCTTCTGTACCAGATGACTGGAGGATAGCTAATGTGATGCCAATTTTTTAAAAAGGCTCCAGAGGTGACCCTAGTAATTACAGGCTGATAAGCATAACTCAATTTGTTGGGGAAGAGTCAACATGTTTTTTGTAAAGGGAAATCGTGCCTCACCAATGTATTAGAATTCTTTGAGGGGGTCAACAAGCATGTGGACAAGGGTGATCCAGGGGATATAATGTACACCTCTACCTCGATATAACGCTGTCCTCGGGAGCCAAAAAATCTTACCGCGTTATAGGTGAAACCGCCTTATATTAAACTTGCTTTGATCCACCGGCGTGCGCAGCCCTGCCCCCCCGGAGCACTGCTTTACAGCGTTAATCCGAATTCGTGTTATATCAGGTCGCGTTATATCGAGATAGCGGTGTACTTAGATTTTCAGAAAGCCTTTGACGAGGTCCCTCACCAAAGGCTCTTAAGCAAAGTAAGCTGTCATGAGATAAGAGGGAAGATACTCTTATGGATCAGTACCTAGTTAAAAGATAGAAAACAAAGGATAGGAATAAATGGTCAGGTTTCAGACTGGAGAGAGGTAAATGGTGGTGTTCCCCACAGGGGTCTGAACTGGGACCAGTCCTATTCAACATATTCATAAATGATCATGAAAAAGGGGTAAACAATGAGGTGGCAAAATTTGCAGATGATACAAAACTACTCAAGGTAGTTAAGGCCAAAGCAGACTGCAAAGAGTTACAAAGAGATCTCACAAAACTGGGTGACTTGGCAACAAAATGGTAGATGAAATTCAATGTTGATAAACGCAAAGTAATGCACATTGGAAAACACAATCCCTTCCAACTATACATATAAAATGATGGGGTCTAAATTAGCTGTTACCACTCAAGAAAGAGATCTTGGTGTCATTGTGGATAGTTATCTGAAAATATCTGTTCAATGTGCAGCAGCAGTCAATGTTAGGAACCATTAGGAAAGGATTAGATAAGAAGATAGAAAATATCATATTGACTCTATATATAAATCTATGGTACACCCACATCTTGAATATTGTGTGCAGATCTGATCGCCCATCTCAAAAACGATATTAGAAGTGGATAAAATACAGAAAAGAGCAATAAAAATGATAGGGGGGATGAATGGCTTCCATATGAGGAGAGATTAATAAGACTGGGACTTTTCTGCTTAGAAAAGAGACGACTAAGGCGGGATATGATTGAGGTCTATAAAATCATGCCTGGTGTGGAGAAAGTAAATAAGGAAGTGTTGTTATTTACTCCTCCTCATAACACAAGAACTAGGGGACACCAATGAAATTAATAGGCAGCAGGTTTAAAACAAACAGAAGGAAGTATTTCTTCACACAACACACAGTCAACCTGTGGAACTCTTTGCCAGAGGATGTTGTGAACAGGGGCGGCTTCAGGCACCAGCGCACCAAGCGCGTGCCTGGGGCGGCAAGCTGCGGGGGGCGGCCTGCCAGTCGCCGTGAGGGCGGCAGTCAGGCTGCCTTCGGCGGCGTGCCTGCGGGAGGTCCGCCGATCCCGCAGCTTCAGCGGCAATTCAGTGGCAGGTCGCCAAAGGCACAGGACCAGCAGACCTCCCGCAGGCATGCCGCCGAATCTGCGTTACCAGCGGACCTCCCGCAGGCTTGCCACCAAAGGCTGCCTGACTGCTGTGCTTGGGGTGGCAAAATACATAGAGCTGCCCCTGGTTGTGAAGGCCAAGACTATAACAGGATTCAAAAAAGAACTAGACAAGTTCATGGAGGATAGGTCCATCAAGGGTTATTAGCCAGGATGGGCAGGGATGGTGTCCCTAGCTTCTGTTTGTCAGAAGCTGGGAATGGACAACGGGATGGATCACTTGATGATTACCTGTTCTGTTCATTCCCTCTGAAGCTCCTGGCATTGGCCACTGTAGGAACACAGGATACTGGGCTCAATGGACCATTGGTCTGACTCACTATGGCCATTCTTATGTTTTTGTGTAATTTTTAAAAATGTGTTATTTACTCCTCATAACACAAGATCTAGGGGTTACCCTATGGGTTGTGGCAGTTCCTGAGAAAGGAGAACACGGTATTATGTTTCTAGAAATAAGTAGAAGACAGGACAAAGCTGATTTTGAAACTTTGGCATGGTTGAAATGGCACTTACTTGCAAAGCACCTGTGAGTTACACATTTTGGAAGCGTTAGAAATTACCAAATTCTTTTGGCCTTTGTCTCTAACATAGACAATTCCAACACTGTTTGAATACTAAAATTTCTATTAAGTTTGTTTTTTAAAAGGTGAGCTACAAGAGCTTTTAAAGATTTTATGAGCCCACCAAGAAATTCTGCATTTTGCTTCTGGTTTCTCCTCATATTTCAAAATCCTAAGGCTATGTTATGATCTCATTTGGAGTAACTGCTGAAATAAGTGGAGTCTCTCTGGGTTGACAATGGTGTAACTAAAATCAGAATTTGGCAAATGGGTTGTGTATGTGTTAAAGATTGTTCCTGGTTTTCATGCTTCCCAGATATTCGTGTTTGTTGTCAGTTTGTCCATCTCACGGGTCAGAGTCCTTATAAAGGCTTTATTTCAAAACCTTACTTTTATAATTTTTCTGTTTGGTTTTCTTAATATAACATATATAACATTAATGTCATTATTTCATTTTTTGTCCATGAAGTCACAATAAAATATTTCCATCTATTAAACACTTGTGCTCTGTTTACTACTTTTCAATGCTTTGTTGATGCTTTGCTTTTGCACATTCTCTATGTAAATGGTATATAATAATTTTGATTACTAGATTTCTAAATGTACAAGTAGTATTTATAATGTGTGTAATGTGTGGGAGTTCATATTACTTTTAGAAACTAAACTTTTGCATTTCTAGCTTTTTTGAGTTCAAGTAAGTAATCTTAATATGTTGCATTAACGTGGGTTTTTAAATCCAAAATTAATAAAACAATATGTGTATACATAGTAATATATATTTGAAGAAAACAAAGCAGAAAATTGGAGCGTTTTTATGTTTTCATTTTTCTCATTCCTTTGTTTTTTCCATTAGATTTGTATACTGTTCAAATATATAATTAATATAGTTACAACAATGTGTCTACTCATACAGTATAGATTTTACAGAGACAATCAAGACATTCAGAATGAAGCATTTTTATTATAGTTTTTTTGATAAATGTTCATGATTGTTAGATTGTAACTAAGATCAATAATTTGCAATAGTGCATCTTAAAAATGCGTATTAAAACAGGAAATGTTAGACTGTTCTATTGCAAATCGCTGATATTTACTCCTGGGGGAATTCTGCGCCATTGCACAGTGCAGAATTTCCTTTCCCCTACAGAAATGGGCTGTAGTGCTGCTAGTTGTCACTGGGTGCTGCTGGACTCAGCAGAGCCCAGCTCATACATAGAAGACACTGCTGGGGGGAGGAAGAGGGAGCTAGAAGGTTCCTGGCAGCTGCAGTTCCCAGCATGCCCTGAGGCAAGGAGAGGGCGGCAGGCAGGAAACTCCATGCAAGCCCGGGACTGATCATCAGGCTGTTTCTCCCTCTGGATCCCTGGGCTCGGGGGAGGGGGCAAAAGAGGGCGGGTATCTTGCCCGTGGGGGCCCCGCAGCTGGGCTCTGGGTGGGTGTGGGTATCTGGGCAAGGGGATGCGGGTATCTTGCCCGTGGGGGACCCGCAGCTGGGCTCTGGGGCAGAGAGGGTTCAGGTGTATTGGCTGGGGGTGGGGGGCACGGCTGGGCTTTGCGGGGAGGGGTTGCGGGTGTCTGGCACCCTGACAGGGCTCTGGGAAGGGGGCAGAGAAACAGGATCTGGGTTGTCATAGGTGTTTCTTTAACTCTCTCTACTCCTGGGGGAAATTTTGTGTTTATATTGTTACAGACATACTTGCTGACAGGTATTTTGAAATAAATTTCCAAAATAATTGAAATTGGTGCGATTATGTAGTGCAGGAATCGGCAACCTTTGGCACGCGGCTCGCCAGGGTAAGTACCCTGGCAGGCCGGGCTGGTTTGTTTACCTGCCGCGTCCGCAGGTTCGGCTGATCGCTGCTCCCACTAGCCGCAGTTCGCTGCTCCAGGCCAAAGGGGACGGCAGGAAGCGGCGGCCAGCACATCCCTCGGCCCGCGCCGCTTCCCGCAGCCCCCATTGGCCTGGAGCGACGAACCACAGCCAGTGGGGAGCTGCGATCGGCCAAACCTGAGGACGTGGCAGGTAAACAAACCAGCCCGGCCCGCCAGGGTGCTTACCCTGGCGAACCGCGTGCCAAAGGTTGCCGATCCCTGATGTAGTGTTATTTTGACACACAAAATTTGCAGAATTTTGCAGTATTTTAAAATATTGTGTACACATTTTTTTATTTTTGGCGCAGAATTTTTAAATTTTTGGTGCAGAATGCCTCTAGGAGGAATATGATATTGGACAGTTTTAATGGTAATGGCATTCAAACATTTTCTCATTTAAAAACAATTGAAAAAATGTGTCACTTTGAATGCCTTGGCTGTTTTTGTAAAATGCCAAAACCTTACACAAATCAGAATTTTTTTATTATTATTTTTTTTTAAGTACGGGTATCCATTTCTGCAACTCTTACTTACTTGAGGAGTCCCATTAGCTTTATTGGAACTGTTCGAATGAGGGCTTTCAAACCGGGCCCTTGGATTTTGCTGACTGCCGTGTATTGGGGTAGAATCTGCCCTTTCCTATTTGATGGCATCCCTTACATGTACGTTGAGAAATGTCCCATTTCTTGTGTAATGAGAGAGGTTTTAACAAATTATGTAACTGTGCATATCATACAGCAAAAGTGTGTGCCATGTTTTTTCTAGGTGACAAGTGTGACACATGCATAGACATGACCTGGCAGATGGATCTGTAGAATCTTTTAAAAATTAGTAATAGATGACACAGTTTGTAATAGAGTCATCTTCTGGACAGTTGTAGCACTCGGTATTTTTATTTACAGGGAATAGAAGACCACAACCTTTTAGCCGGACATCTTGCCATGTTTACTAATGACTTTAATCTGGCTCAGGATTTATATCTGGCATCCACCTGTCCTGTTGCTGCACTTGAGGTACCCAGTTAAGTTACCTAAAACGTTGTCAGATGTTAATTGTTTTTCTTGCCAACCTAATATACACTACTACCTGATTATTTTACATGGTGATAATTCTGCTCAGTTTTGTTGTATTTCTAAACATTTTGAGTCATGATATGGGTCTGTCAATTGCTTAAGATAAGTATGTATTATGCCTCTTATTACAATATCACCTTCTTGCTATCATCTGTCTCAAACTTTCTGTTGAATCCAGCCAAGATTCTAACATTGATAATTGTATTTATAATACTAGAAAATAATATAATGATTCAGTATTTGATGCTTACATCAGAAAATTGTTTCCCCCCCAAAAGCTGATTTCAAAGAATTTCTTTTGGTAACAGATGAGAAGAGATTTGCAGCACTGGGACAGCGCACTGCAGCTGGCTAAGCGTTTGGCCCCAGGCCAGATCCCATTCATATCAAAGGAGTATGCTATGCAGCTTGAATTCACGTATGTTCTCCTGTAAAAATGTAGTATTGTAATATTGAACTAGTACTCCTACTAAGTAGAAAAATATTAGTGATATCCTGAAAGCATTTCCACAAAGATCTTGATTTGTTTGAGCCACTCCAGCTCATTGCAGTGCTATACAGAATCCCTGAGAGGTCCTGCAGCTGCTGTACCAGGGAAATTGGGAGTATCCACAGAAAACTACTCTGGAGACATGGTTCACAAAAATAGCTGCTCATGATCGATTTAAGTGCCCAAAAAGGCAAAAAATGAAGTGTACACCAACCGGCAAACTTCCCAATGCAAACAAAATAAACTGTTAACCAGAGGTTTAGTTGCAGAGCAGTGTCAGCTTGGAGTAGCTTTCTCCTTCCTGCCATCTTTTATCTCCACTGTTGAGAGTGGAAGACAGCCTGGTATTTAAATGCCCATGCCTCTCCTTCCCAAGTCACGCTGGGTCATCCCATCTCCTGTATATTTGTGAAAAAGGAGAGCCAGACTTCCAGGTGAGCAGTCCCTGGTAGAGAGAAGGAGTCTACCCTACTCCCCTTGTCTTTTAAACCTAACTATATAGCTGCCCCTACCAGGTTGATATCCTGTTCCCTTTGGCTGCCAAATCAAGGTAGGGGATCATGGCTGCTTCAAGTATGTTCCCGTGAGCAGCCACTGAAGCAGGCTTAATCTGGTAAAGCAAGTGAGATTTATGGGAAAACAGTGGTTGAGAGATTGCTTCTCACAGTACCAGGTTTCTACGCTACCAAAGAGATCATACAAAGGAGCTCCTTAGAAGTCAAATTCAGCCTCATCACCAGTGACTTTCGAGCTTTAGAAGGCTCACTTCCTAGGGCCCATAGAAGATTTTGGCACAACAGCCATAAACCGTGACATAGGCCTTATTTCCATGCAAATATGCACTGAAATCACTAAATCATTTTTAATTCACACCTTTTGTTGTTTTGGAACAAGTCTGGGAGCTTCTTATTTGGGAATAATAATGTCCTATTTCTATTTTGTTTAAGTTGGTAAATAAATCATTCAGTCAACATTAGTGGTATCAAAATAGGACACTTCTTTCTGAAATCAGCTTCTATTGCTTGTTGAGCTCAAGGTGTAAAGGCCTAGAAGTGATATAGGAAAGAGGCTTCTCCAAGAGACAGGTGTGCATACTCACTGTTTATTCTTCTTGGAACATGAAGGGACATGACACACATGCTTAATTACGCCTTCTTATCTGAGCCACAGAGTCCTGGAGAGCCATAATTAAAAGGTTCAAGGCCCATAGGGTCAAAGTGAAAACTAAATATGCCATGGCACAAACTACATAACACTTACTAACTAACAATAATACAATTTAAGTCTAGAAATTAAGGGAGTTTTGTATCAAAATCCCCCAAATCGCCCTGTATACTGAGAGAAGATACCTGCAGGTGGCCACAGAAAGGAGGGAACTGAGGCATTTGTGACCATATGGTACTTTTGTAACCTTAGGTCTGAATGTGGTGCTGCTTTCCAGAAGGTTTCCAAAGGAAATGCAGCAGCACTAGGGGTGCACATCACACAAAATGGGAATATGCAGTGGCTACCTCAAAAAAGAATTGCAATTTACATTAAATGCTGCAAAAATGTGATCACAGGATTAACTGTTTTAATAGGAGTCAATTAGCTGACAAATAAATGGAATGGATATCCTAAGTATGCAGGCTTAATATCTCTGCAACTGTTATTCCTATTAATTTACATTTTTAACATAAGTTATTATTTTCTTTTAGGGGTGATTATGTGAATGCTTTGGCGCACTATGAGAAGGGAATCACAAAGGACAATAAGGTAACACTCTTCAATGATGGCAGCATACAAGTAATTATAATATGTATTATACACTGAATCCTTCTATTACAGTATATTTAAATACAGGATTTTGTATTCTTCTGTAAATGATATGACTCTCTTCCTTTTCGAAGAACAATATTGATATATTGGTCTTTCCTGTCATTTTATACACAGAGAAAAATGGCTTACTTGATGTAAAACAGTAGTTTATTAATATCTATTGCATTAAGATTGTAGTACAGAAATTATTTTTACCATTTGAACAATATTTATATAAATATGAAGTGGGACAGTGCCAAAATAATAATATATTTATATATGATACTTATATAGATCTCTGCTCCTTTGGTGTAGTCAATTGTTCAGTAAAGAAGAAGAAAAATGAATAGTCAGATTTTTTCAAAACAAGAGAAATAGAAATGCTTCCTTGTATATTTTAAAACCAAATGTGTGAATTGGGGGCTAGTACTTTGAGAGAAGTCCAATTAGAAGCAAGTAATTTCCCCATCTGTCTTTTTCTGTACATTTGTTTTGGTGTTTTGTTCTGTTTCTTTGTCTCTTTTTGAAACTTACCTTTGTCCTGTATGCCTGGCCTACTCAGTTATTTAAAAAAATAGAATGTAGTGTGAAAGACTAGATGAAACTTCACCAGAAAGTTACCTAAATGTGGCCAGCAAGGAAAACATAGGCTTTTCCACAATTAATGGTGCCATTATTTAATCATAAATACTGACTGTTGCCTTTTCAAACTCTGGTTTAAATTTTTTAGACAAGAACAGTTTTACCTGAGGTCAGGTCGTTTCTGGTTGATGCATTTCACTGTTGTTGCAATCATTGCAATGGCTTCTGTAAAACCAATACTTTTTGTACTGAAAATATAGTTATCACTTTACTTTTGATCACCAGTACCAGGAACATGATGAAGCTTGCCTAGCTGGAGTGGCTCAGATGTCCATTCGAATGGGAGACATTCGTCGAGGGGTTAACCAAGCCATTAAACATCCTAGCAGGCTGCTAAAGAGAGACTGTGGAGCCATTCTGGAGAGTATGAAGGTATCCGTAGCAATAGAGAGAGCATTAATAACATGATGAATTCACAGTCTACAAATAAATTAACATTTGTATAATTTTCATTATTGTAGCAATTTTCAGAAGCCGCCCAGCTATATGAAAAGGGGCAATATTACGACAAGGCAGCATCAGTATATATCCGCTGTAAAAACTGGTAAGTGCAGCTTTAGTGCGGTATTATGTTCCTTGAAAAACAGGTTATATTGTAGTGCCCTTTGAAAAGGAATAGGAGTCCCTGATCAACTTGATTAATCAGACACATAGTTCACATGACAAACCTTCTACTGACTCTTTTCCTGGGGACTAGGTCAAGTATGATTTACACTCTCTGAATCTTCAGAAACACAGGTTGATGTAAATCAAAACTTCTAGTGCTAATAAAGCCAATTCAATCAGGATGGATGTGGCCCATTCCCAGCAGTCGACAAGAAGGTGTGAGTATCAACAGAGGGAAAATTATTTTTTGTAGTAACTCAGCCACTCCCAGTCTTTATTCAGGCCTAATTTGATGGTGTCAAGTCTGCAAATTAATTCCAGTTCTGAATAAAGGCCTGAATAAAGACTGGGAGTGGCTGAGTTACTACAAAAAACAATTTTCCCTCTGTTGATACTCACACCTTCTTGTCGACTGTTGGGAATGCGCCACATCCACCCTAATTGAATTGGCCTCGTTAGCACTGACCCCCCACTTGGTAAGGCAACTCCCATCTTTTCATGTGCTGTATATTTATACCTGCCTACTGAATTTTTCACTCCAGGCATCTGATGAAGTGGGTTATAGCCCACAAAAGCTTATGCCCAAATAAATTTGTTATTCTCTAAGGTGCCACAAGGAAGGACTCCTCATTGTTTTAGCATCATAGGGCTGCTCAGTGTCATTTCCAAAATGAACTTGGCCCTTGTCCAGTTCCTAGGGAGCAGGTGTTTACATAATAGAATTGCCACCATAATTGGACTCCTCTTAGCAATCTCTGCAGAGCGAACAATAATTGAATTGGTAGAAAGACAGATGTACCTTTTCCTCATGAGCTAGTTCCTCCAGGTCAGAAATGAGACACACTGGGGTAGTGCAGAGAAGGCTTGCATTGCTGTCATCAGTACTGTGCCTTTTCTGTGAATAAATGAGAGTATGGCAGAGTCCAGAGTGGTCTGTCTGGCACTTCTCACAAATAGAAACTACAGACCAGATCCACTAAAGTATTTAGGTATGTAACTTCCACTGGTTTCTAAATACCTGTGAAGATTGGGGCCTATGATCACATCCAAAATTAAAACAAGGAAAAAATGATATTCTAATTCTGTAAGGCCCCTTTACATTGTCAGAGCAGCATAAAATGGCCCGAAAATGCACAGTAACCAATTCCTAGTTTTTAGATGTGTAGCAAGTGCATATTTTTGAAAACTTTGAAGCTCTTTCAAAGCTTCTCTTGTATATAACAGAAGAGAGCATATTTATAATGCAAAATATCATGATTAATTTCCTTGTTCGTTTAAATGAAAATGAGATCACTTTTACATACTACATTTTTTTGTCTTAATTATTACTAAAGAATAAGATCATGTTGTTGCTGGTATTCATACTGCACACATTTTGTAAGTCCCTTTTTCTTTTCTCTCAAGTATTTCTATAAATATGCATATACTTTTATTTGGCGAAGACAAATTAAAAAGAAAGATCAATTTATTATTCGATTACTTTATTCTCTTTGTTTTCTAGGGCAAAGGTTGGTGAGCTTCTCCCTTGTGTATCATCTCCAAAGATTCACCTGCAGTATGCCAAGGCAAAAGAAGCAGATGGCAGGTGTGTTTAATTTCCAGAATCAAATAGCCAAGGATTTAAAGCTACAGAATGTTAATATTCACAGTTTTATTCATAAAAAAATTAGTATATCTAGTGACTACGTATTTGTGGAAAAATATAAAAATCAAGTGTTATGCAAACATCTTGAAACTAGACAAAGATTATGCTGCTGATTAGGAAAGAAATACTTCTGATAGATTATCCTTGGGTTAAACTTTAAAAAGCTATTTTTTAAAAAGTAGCATTAAAGCTGTTAAGTACTGTAGCTTTGTTCAGTGGTGGTGATGTGCTGAAGTTTATTTTTCTTCTAAAGACTCATTCTAAGTTTTTATAAAAAGCTATGATTAGTCATCACAGTCTGTGAAACAAAAAGTTTTTACTTTTTAAAATAAATTACAATAGCACTGTTTGTAATAATTGGGTCTCCAAATTTACTTTCATTGTGAACTCAACTGTAAGAAGCGAGTGAAGTTCATAAAATGTCACAATAACAATAAACATCAAACATCAATAAACATTGATGAGAAAAGGTGGAAAAGAGACAAAAAAGCCTATTGATATAATTCAAGGACTGTGTTAAGATCATGCCTGGTAAACGAGAAAATGGGTGTGTTGGAAATTAGGGCTAACTGATGATCAAAATATTGAGAGGATGGGCTTTTCTGCTCATCACTGCCCTTTTGAAGTCCTTAAAAGAGAGAACTTTTGGGGGAAATTCAGGAGGAAGAAGCTGTTTGCCAGCAACTGCTGCAGCAGGCTTTACCATCATGGCTGCCACTGTCTCTTGAGTCCCCAGGATCTATTGTAACACTGTGGGGCTCTCTTATCCTGATCCTGATCCTGAGAAAGATGCTGACCAGATTGGGCCAGAGAGGGGGATTCAGATGACATTGCCACCTCCACCAGCTCCAGCTAAATTCTGAATGCTACCTGCGATGTGAGACTCTCCCAGTCTCTCACATGTGCGCGCTCACACACGGTGTCTTCTTTTTTCAAATCCGCCCTCCCCCCCACATATTTCTTCTCTTTCCTGTCCCTCTGCTTTTACCTTCTGTTTAATAAGAGTCTGGCTTAGCCAGGCAAGACTGTATTTGTAACATTGCTGTTACCCTGTGACCAGAAAGAGGTGACAAAAAGCAATGCCCTAAAGATGCTGGTACAAGTTTGCCAGATCTCGCAGTGACTATTAAGACAGTGAGCCATATCCCCTCCCCACACAGCACTGTGGTTGCAGGTAGGAGTCAACACCAGATACAAAAGCTGCATTTTCGATCTTCGCTGTTCTTTTCTCTTCCCACTTGTGTGTGTCTTGTGTTGTCTTCTAGGAAACAGAATTGGACTTTAACAGCAACAGCAACCACAACAGCTCAACTAATATCTTTTCATTTCCCCAAAAGGACAGTTATTACCAACATTATTACCACATAAGAGACTGTCAAACAAATGGTTTTTTCCTTCTAAAAACTCTATAGCTAAAGGCAAAGGAAAGAAGGAATGTTGTTAAAATGAAAGTCTTACTTAATACTTTACGTTTTAAATGCTTTAACTGTTTTCTTTTGTTTTCTGTATCTTTAATGAAAGGTTATAAGACTGTTCAATTTTATAGTTGCCATGGTACTAAGCAGGCTCGGGTCTCTATTCCATATCTGAATCTTGTTTAACACTATTTAATGTTGGATAGTAACAGCGTCCTGTTAATACCCTTCTTTGACTATTTTGGCTATTTATTCCCATCTAAATTAATACAATGCACCTCATTTACACTAAAGACAGGGACAGTCTTTGCAAATTATTGATTAATGTTTAGATAAGCAAACACAAAAGCAAGGATACTTAATCACAAAATATAGTTTTTGTTATTTGTAATATACAAATAAACGTACTGCAGAATATTTTGTGAAAATAACAAAGTCTTAGTATTATGAGGAGTCACTGCAGTGCTCTTCTGCTAAATATTTGCTGTGATGTGAGCAGAGACCACTATTTTTAGGACAGTAATACAGTGTGTGAATGAGGAAGGTCCTATTGTAACTTGTTTGACTGGGGAAGAGAAGAGAATGGGAGTTCTTCTTCGAGTGATTGCTCATGTGTATTCCACAATATGTGGCATGCTCGCCACATGCACCAGTGCCGGAAGTTTTTCCCCTAGCGGTATCCATAGGGGAGCGCCCCAGCAACTCCTGGAGTGGCGCTTCTATGACATGGTATAAGGGGCACTGCGCGCTTCCCCCCACCCTCAGTTCCTTCTTGCCGCCAGTGAAGGTGCATCGGACCTGCTCTGCTCCAGCTTGTCTGCAGCTTTCCTCTTGAACTCTTGTTCGTTCATAGTTAGTTAGTACCTGTAGTTAAAGTAGTTTAGTTTAGTTTAGTGCACCCAGGTCGGGGCATGCCCAGTGCCCTGGGCTTTAAGTCGTGCGACACTTGCAGGCAGCCAATGCCAGTGAGTGACCCGCACATGGACTGTTTACGCTGTCTGGGGGAAACCCATCTCAGTGATCGCTGCAAGACTTGTAGATCCTTCAAGCCTCGGACCAAGAAAGAAACGGACATTTGTCTCCAAGCCATTCTGATGGAGTCGGCGTTGACCCCGACTCCGGTGCGCTGCTCCGAGTCGGCACCGGGTACCGCGGCGTCGGTGCATGGCGACCCTTCGATGCCTTCCACCAGTCGGCACCACTCCCTGTCCGAGGCACTGGAGCAAGACCAGGGGAGAGACTAGACCCATATTGGGCAGTTCTCGGTCCCCGTTGGTCACCACTCCTCCGACTCAGGTTGAGTGGAGTAGCCCGGCCCAGTCGGCGCAGGCTGGGACGGTGCAAGCAGCCTGGGACGTTATGTCCCTGCCGGTATTAGGGGCACCGCCACCATTGGCTCCCCAGTCCAGAGGCAAGCCACCGCTTGGATCGCCGCAGTCACCTCCTGGTTGGTACCGTTCGCGGTCGAGGGAATGTTCCCGACGCCGTTCGCTGCTCAGCAACCGCCCCGTGCGTAGTCCACACCAATCGCCATCGACCCCCACCAGGTTGGCTGGGTTCTAACTGACAGGGGTTCCAGGCACTGTTCCGCCTCAAGGGACCGTAGACCTCGCGAAGGGAGCAGGCCTCATCAAGACCGAGACAGACGGCACTGGAGGTCCTCGTCTCTGAGAGGCTACCATAGCCCGTTGCAATACTGGTATCAACGCCGTTCCCATTCTTCGTCTCGCTCCAGGCGCTGTCACGGATGCGCCCGCCGGAGCCGATCGCAGAGCAGCTGCTACGGGCGGTACCATTTCTCCACCTCAGGATCATGGTCTCGTGGTCGGCACCATTCCCGACGCCACCGCTCCTCCCGGTCCAGAGACACCGGTAGGTCGTACGTGAGCCCAGCCTCCCTTCGTAGTCGTCAGTCGATGGGACAGGCTAGTCAGGCTGAACAGCCTGCTCCGCCAATGCAACAGCAGGTGCAGTGGCACTGGGCTCCTTGGCCAGCACCAGTGGTGGTGCGCTCGGTGGCCGGAGCCTCAGAACGACCATCGGCCTCCCTTTCCCAGCCTCTCAGAAAGGAGTCAGTGGGATGTGCATGTTCGGTTCCGGGCCCGGCGGGCAACCAAGTGGTGGGACCTCCAGTACCGCTGGGTACGCAGAGTACTGCGCCTGCATCCTCACTCTCCCCTGTTGAGGCGATTACGCCCCCTCCTCCCTCTGTTCCGCAAAAGGATTCTAAGGCCCACCAGGAACCATTGAAAAGGGTGGCATCAAGCCTCAACCTTCAGGCCGAGGGGGTGGAGGAACCCTCGGACTCACTCTTCAATGTCCTGTTGGCCTCGGTACCAGGTAGGGTGGCCCTTCCACTCCACGAAGGGGTGGCAAAAATTTCAAATGCCTTGTGGCAAACCCTGGCTTCCTTGCCCCCCATCTCTAAGAGGGCAGAACGGAAGTACTTTGTGCCCACCAAGGGGCATGAATACCTGTACACCCACCCTGCCCCCTACTCCCTGGTGGTCAAGTCAGTCAACCACAGGGAGAGGCAGGGCCAACCAACGCCTACTCCGAAAAATAAAGACTCAAGGAGGTTGGACTTATTTGGGAGAAAGGTTTATTCATCCTCAAGTTTCCAGGCTCTCCTGGGTCGGTATGCGTTCAATTTGTGGGGCGCTCTACCCAAATTCGAGGACTCCCTCCAGGAGCGTGACAAGAAGGAGTTCAAAGCTCTGGTGGAGGAGGGTACAGCGGCTGCCAGGGCAACCCTGCAGGCAGTGTCGGATGCTGCGGATACAGCTACAAGGTCCATGGCCTCCGCGGTGTCCATGAGAAGGGCGTCATGGATCCTGCTGTCTGGGCTGTCCAGTGAGGTGCAGAACTCCTTGCAGGACCTTCCGTTCGATGGCAAGGCCTTGATTGCAGAACAGATGGATGTGAAGCTGCACGGCCTGAAAAATTCCCACACTACGCTTAAGACACTTGGCCTCTATGTCCTGGCTCCGGCTAGGCCCAAGTTTAAGCCTCAGCAGGCTCCCACCCAGGCCACCCACTCTAAATACGAGCCCCCTTATAAAAAGTCACGGGACTATAAGAAATGCCCTCAGAGGCAGTCCCGGTCTGCCCCCCAGTCTGGGTCCTCCAAGGGTAAACAGGCAGGGAAACATCAGTTTTGACGGGACGCCCAGGGGCGACCTACCAGTTCACACCAGGGATCCACCCGCAATAAAGCTTGCCTTCTCCAACTGGTTGTGTGCTTTTCTCCCGGAGTGGTCGCGGCTGACTTCGGACCATTGGATTCTCAACACCATCTCCCAGGGCTACACCCTGCAGTTTACCTCTACCCCACCCAACCACCCTCCACGCCGTCCCTCCTGGGGGACCCCTCTCACGAGGCCCTGCTCGAGCAAGAGGTGGGGCGACTCCTTGGCTTAGGAGCGGTGGAAGTGGTGCCAGCGGAGTTCAAACACAAGGGGTACTACTCCCGCTACTTCCTTATCCCGAAGGCCAAAGGGGGGGCTCAGGTCCATCCTGGACCTG